AAGACCCGAAACTCTTGCAGCAACTTGGTACAAGCCATGACCGAAGCAGCCAACCCAAAACACAAAAAATCCCAAACCCTCAACCTCAACCCTGAACCTAAAAGCGCGAAGCCCTAAACTCTAAACCCTTGAAGCCTTAAACCCTAAAGCCTTGAACGTCGAATCCCTACATCCTAAACCCTCGAAGCCCTAAACCCTAGAACCGTCTATAATCCCGGCAGTGACGCCCGGAATCCGGCCTCACAACCCTTCAACACCTCAACCCTGAAATCCCTGCAAGCACCGGGGAGCGCGCCTCACAGCCAAAGTGGAGCGAATCGGGGCGGCAACCCGCGACCTTCTCTCCCGACTCTGGTTTAGGGTTTAGGGTTTAGTTTAGGGTTTAGGTTTGGGTTTAGGGCTAGGGTTTGGGGTTTGGGTTTATAGTTTAGGGTTTAGGGTTTGGGGTTTGGGGGTTGTGGCTTTCAATCGAGCGTCCTACAAGGGTGCGTTAGTATTGGGGGTTACTACGGTTCTATACGGGCTTGGGGTGTTAATGGGGGTTCTGTAGCGGCTTTACTACGGTTCTACACGGGTTCTGATCGGCTGGAGTGTTTCCACTTCTCCAAGTTGCCGATCAAGGTCTCGATGTCCTCGCCCTGGGCAGTGAGGAACGTATCCAACCCTGTCAGAAGTGCTGAGACGTAGGAAGGACACAAAGTGGCGTTGTTCTGGACTGTGCCTTCCAAGAGCTTTCCGGTCTCAGCTTTGAGCAAATCAAGAAGGACCTTCTCGAAGGCATCCAGGGCGCCATCCCTCATGCCCTTTCTGTAACCGTAGGGTTTTGGTTTTGGGAGTTCTCAAGGCCTAAGGGGGTTGGGGTGTGAGCTTCGGGGTTTTGGGCTCGGGGTTACAGGTGGTGGGGTTCTGGCGGTTCAGCTTCATGACCCTTAACCCCTGGATCCTGGACCCTAAACCCAGAACCCTGACGGATGAAGGTTCTAGAGCTTATGGTTTTGACGTTCGGCTTTGGGGGGTCGAACTTTTCAGGGAGAGCTTCGACTATGTACTCTGTCCTCAACGCTTGATATCAAGGGGTTCTACTAGGCCATATACTTTATAAGCATGTTATGGGGTTGCAGAGCAAGGCAAATGACCAGGTCATGATTGGTCGCAGGTATAATATCGCTGTAGACTTAGATTCTAATAGACATATAAATAGTTCAACCTCCAAGTAGACCTGAATTGCGAAGACAAACTCAGGCGTCAGCGCAGCTAGTACTGTCTTCCCTTGCAGCCCCAAACATAAAAATATCGTCGAAAATACCCCCAAAACCTACTCTATCTCCTATAAGGCACCGTCACAGCTTGGAAGCTACTGTTGCTCAGAGCCTTCGGGCTTAGCGGAAAGCCTATCATGACCTTACTAAACCCTTATGTGCCCTCGTTGAGGGGCCCCGTGATCTTGATTGAGGGTGCCTTTCGGGGAGGTACTTGGAGGGTCGAGAGACGGTAGTAAGTAGACTTATAAGTACCTTAAAAGGGATCGTATACTTGGGGTTCTGATACTTATAAGTCTACAAAATAACTATATACTTTCCAAGTCCCCTGACCCTCCAAGGAAAGGTAGCCCAGAGAAGCCCTGAAGGCATGACCCGAATGCAGCGACGGTTATAAGAATTGCATTGTGGTGCATTTTACAGACTAGTTGAATAGTTGTATTACATACGAACCCCTAAGATAATACTGGTGATTTGTTATTCTTGGCCTATATTACAAGCCCCAAGATTCATCGGTGAGCCCCCGGCAGGACTGCACGCATGGCCATGGTTTGCGGCTCGTCCTTCGTCTGCCGGGGTGTTTAGGTGAAGGCTTGGGCTGCAGGTTCAGGGTTTAGGGTTCAGACCTGAACCCTACTGAAAGGCTCATGGGCCTTTGTAACTAGAGCTATAATTAAGGTAACTGTACTTATACTAACTTATAACCTGGGTTCCTGATAACAGGATTCTATACATAAAGTTGGCTCAACCGACAAGGAAGCTACAATGAATAATATAATGTAGGTAGAGTTGGGGCTTCGGGTGAAAGGTTTTGGTTTAAGAGATGAGGTTTGGAGGTTTTGCGCACAAGGGCTTCTGGTTTCGGTGGCTCTGTATTTGCAGTCCTTTGTCATGTATCTAGGCAGGACGGGTTAAGGTTTAGGATTATGGACAAGGGCTTAGGGACATAACACGCCTCGATCGCCCGAGTGAAAAAAAGGCTTTAGAGTTTAAGGCTTGGCTTACAGCGGGAGCCTAGACGCCCAAACCCTCCTTCTGGCAGCCTGAATACTTAATACGCTGTTTTTGGCGTCAATTAAAGCGCCAAGTATACATAGGAACTTTGCGGTGGCATTATCACCAACAAGCTGGGCCCCGAAACCCTAAACTCTAAAACCCTAAAACCCTATAACCCTATAACCCTAAAACCCTAAAACCCTCAACCCTAAACCCTTCTATGAATCCGACACTGCAAGGCTGGCCTGCGACAGGGGCAGCTCTCTGCGAGAGGATGCTTTTCTTCGACCCTCGGCCCTACTGAGTCTTCTGGTGAGCGGCCGGCGGCGAATCAGGGCTTGTGGCGTGGGCATTGCTCTAGTCAGGAGGATGGGGAAGAAGATTAAGCTGGCATCGAGGCGATGACAAAAGTGGTGAAATGATGACGATGATGGTAACGATACTGTGGCAACGGCGAAGATGGCGGTGATGGTGATGACGATGTTGATGGCGATGATGATGGCGATGATGATGGTGACGATGATGATGTCATTTCATCCTGGTTGCATTTATGCTGATGAGGAAGAACCTGATGGCCACGCTGACGACGATGAAGAGTATGATTATGACGTTGATGATGGTCACGAGCACGAAGAAGGAGAAGATGATGATGATGACGATGATGATGATGGCCTCAAGGGAAGTATAGACCCCGGCTCCAGGTTCAGCAGGACAGAAATACCCTCAGAAGGGATTGGACCATCTATGGTTAGTTCATCGGCCACTCAATTCCCCGAGAACCGCAAGCCCCAAATCAAACCAGAAACCCCAGATCCACTGGGGTTGAGATTCAAACGGTTTAGGGGTTAGGGTTTAGGGCTTATGGTTAGGGTTTAAGGCTTTGGATTTTGGGTTTTGGGTTTAGGTTTCGGGTTTAGGGTTTAGGCAGTGGGGGGGGGTATCAACAAACTGCAACATGAGTCATCAAAGACCATGAACCTGACTTTTGTCGCAAGCGGCTATCTCATCCGATGCTTTCCGACTCGCGACGATTTCAGTTTCGGGCGGATGCCTGTGAGTCAGCTTTCGTCCGCCCTCACTCCTGTCGGTCGGGTTTAGAGCTTACCTTAACCCCAAGTAACCTACCTTTTTAAGGACTTATATAAAGAAATCATATTAAGGAACCCTAAAAAAGTCGGTTCCTTAGGGTCCAGGTAGGCCTTTTTGGGTTTAGGGTTGGTCTATACCAGGCTTCTGCACGCATTTCCGGAAGTTCCTCACGGCTTTGGGCATCTTCCCTGCTGAGCACCAGGGTCTCTCGGAAGGTAAACTCAAGGGGACCGAGAAGATGGGGGCCTTGAAGATTACTTAAAGGGTCCTTAGTAACCAGGGTTTAGGGTGCCTTTAAAGCGACTATAGGGTCTGGAGTAGGGCTCCTTTTAATTAGGGCTTAGGGTCTACTTAAAGGATCATGGGACTTAGTAACTAGGGTTATGATTGAGGTAACTGTACTTCTAGTTACTTATAACCCCAATTAAGGTACTTATAACCCTACTTACTAAGTCCCATGATCCTCTAAGTAGAACTACGTTCCGTTCAAGGGTCCGAAAAGGGTTCTAGTACAGGACAGTGCTTTAATGTGTATAACGGCCTTACTGATTAGAATAGTTTGTGGGGCATGTATGGCATACTAACAAGGAGGAAGCTAATGAATACTTGCAATTGTTCTTGCTTCTAGCTGGCTGCGGTAGAGTCACCTTGATAGTTACCAAATCTAGTTTGGGGTTCCTTATAATAAGTTATAGTACAATGGGCTCCCAAACCCTATTCCAATTGTTAAGGCCCGGCCCCTATAGTAGGGCTCTAAGGACCATAATGGTCCCCTTGAACGTCCGTGGCATCTGGGGCCATCAGCCGAAACTCAGCAAAGTCATTGACGGGTTGGTTTGTCAGGGACTGTGCAGTTTGGATCTTCTGAAACACCTTACCCTAAACCTTAAACCCTAAGCCCTAAACTCTAAACCCTTAAACCCTCAAACCTTTAGCCCTAAACCCTTAACCCTTAACCTGGAACCCTAAATGCCACAAGCTCAACAACAATTCAAGTCCCTAATCAGCTGCTAGTATACTGTAGTCTTCTGGTCACTTGCGGACACAAACTTTCCGGAGAGTAATGAATAATATTTGATATGAAGGGCGCTGCATCATAGAAGAGACAACATGATCACTAAACTCTGTGCTGATGGCTTCTTGCACACTGCATCATAGCAAAAAACGGCAGACAAGACAGCTAGTAAAGCACTAAACGCTGAAACCAGTGCACAGTCCCTGCAGGCCATAATTTGAATTCTTGCAGCGAAATCCTCTGTCATTGTTGGCCACTCGGCCTGACTGGATATGGGATTTCGGGCTTCGTGGCTTGAGGGCTGCCCCTTTGCTGTGCCCCTAACCCACACCAGTTCTGCTTCTATACGGTTGAAGATATGATGATGGACCCTGAGCTATGGGAATTGTGGTAAAATTCCTTATTCTGGGTAAAGCAGGATTTGCATCATCAACCGTAGTTTGTGGGGGCTTGCTTATGGTCCCTGCGGGTTGGTCCTCTGTTTCTGAGACTTACTCACTGCTTAGGTACTGCCCCCATACAGCAAGAGTCTATAATAGGGCTACAATTGAGATCCTAATATATCTATATTATGAAGATTATTCAACTATTACTGAGTGGAGGCCGTACCCAACTTACTGCACCCCGCGGCCTCCAGAAAGCTACTCCGCCAGCCGCTGTGGCGGCGCTGTCTCCTCAATGCAAACATTCAGGGGCTCTCTACACTGCTGCAGGCTATGGGCGGCTTTGAAGTAAGGATTACTATTTTTATTATTACTATTATGATTATTACTATTGTTATTACTACTATTATTATTATGATGATTATAGCTATAACCAGGCTAGAAGCCTTACTGAAGCCTTACTGCAAAAACTATAACCTACCTTAAGCTACCAAAACCTACTTTTTTGTAGGGTCCCTATAAATTCCATATTTGGGTTTATATTAAGAACCTCCAAAAAAGTAGGGTTTGGTAGGTTACGGGACTTACGACTTCCCCTCCGCCTCCAAGCAGGGCCGGCTCCCAGTTTATCCCAAGGGTCCAAAGGACCGAATAATGAGATACTTGGGTTTCGGATAGGGTTTAGGGTTTAAGGTTTAGGGTTTAGGGTTTAGGGTTTAGGGTTTAGGGTTTATTGTTTAGGGTTTAGGGTTTAGGGTTTAGGGGTTTAGGGTTTAGGGCTACATGACGCTTTGGGAAACTTTTTCGGGCGTCTATCTAACTCCTATGGAGGTACCAACTCATGGTTTTCAAGGGCCCCAAAGATAAACCCTAAAGGCTTAAAACCCTAAACTTTACCCTAAACCCTAAACCCTACAAACCCTAAACCCTAAAGCCTAAACCCGAAACCTTAAACCCTATAAACCCTAAAGCCATAACCTTAAACCCTAAATCTTGAACCCTATAAACCCTTAAGCCTGAACCTTAAACCCTAAACCCGTTAAGGGTGTGAGGGCTGTGGGGTTCAGGAGCTTTGAGGACTGGAGACCTCGTGGGTTTGGGCCGCGTAAGCATGGAGCGAACACGACATAGCCAGGATACTAGAGGGGCCTGGTTAGTTCCAACAATATTCCAGTCGAGTCAAATCCCTGAAACCCTAAACCCTAAACCCTAAACCCCTAAACCCTAAACCGGCGCGGCGACAACGTCGGAGCAAAGGCCGCGGCTACTTAGAGGATCATGGGACTTACAGTAAAAGCCAGAAAGTTGGAATATGATTATCCTAACCCCTATATGGTAAATTATAAGGTATCCTACCCTGAAACCATATTCCAACTTTCTGGAGTTCCCTGTAGTAGGTAGGATTATAAGTACCTTCATTGGGGATATGAGTAGTTATAAGTATAGTTACCTTGATACTAACGCTAGTTACTAGGTCCCATGACCCTTTAAGTAGGATCCCCTAAAGCACAGGATTCGTATTCGCCTGTAGTTGGGGCTTGCGGTTTAGGAATTGGGTAGGTCTCCAAATGTCGGGTCCCTTGTGAGGCCCGCAAAGTTGTAAGGGAACCGTTATAAAAGGACCCCAGACAGGACCCTGAGTTTAAAGATCTACCCATTTAGGCCTTATATTCTTCAAGTATCCTCAAATCCTCAGGACAACTCAATCGGCCTTTCCAGGCTCTAAGCAACAATAACCCTACAGATTAGCTTTACTCACTGGGGTTTGGGTTTAGGGTTTAGATTTGAGAGTTTTAGGGTTTAGGGTTTAGGGCTTTAAGGTTTAAGTGCGGTTTAGGGTTTGGCCCCAAATTCGAGACTCTAACCCTGGCCCTGCTTGCCTCCTGCTCATGGACGTCATGAAGCAGCGCAAAGAAGACCTGCACCGTCCGACTATCCCACACCCGAAGCCCCCAAGCCCTAACCAAAGACTCAACCCTCAGTTCTTATCTAACCGAGGGTTGAGTACAACGGCGTTATTAATCAGAACAGAGTTTTGGGGTATGTTGAAACTGTATATACTGTGAGTATTATAAGGAGCCCCAACCAGAGCATTAGTAAGTTTAGCTTGTAAGGCCTCATCGATATTCTCCCCTCTCGCCGCAGAGGTTTCCAAGAACGTCAGGCCTCATGTGCCGAAGCTTTCGCTTGCAGGAGCTGCGAGACTGATCAGTTCTGGGGGAACTAGGGATGGGGTGCTGGGCTGTATGTCGCAGACCCGCAGTGGATTGTACAGGAGTGTACACGTAAGCTTTGCAACGGACCAGGTTAAAGCAATACTCTGAACCCTAAACCCATGGGGCCTCTTCGCGACGATTTGAATATCCCTGCTTGTGGCAGTGGGCTGCAAGTGGAGAACACGGGAGGTTCATAAAGATGCGACGCCAGTAGAGACCTTACATTGTAGGATCCTACCCATCAGGACCCCGGTCAACCCTAAACCCTGAACACCTCCAGACCAGAGTTTGGGGATATAGATTTAGGTTCAGGCTCAGCGTTTACGAGGTCGAGGGATTTGAGGCAGGTGTGTGTCGGCCGGAGGTTCAAAGGTCTACATCTTGGTAGGGCTCATTCCTTATGGTTTCGGCTTCGGAGTTGCGTTTAGGGTTTAAGGTTTAGGGATCCGGCCGTATGGTTTCGGCTTCGGGTTTAGGGTTTAGGTGACATTAGGGTTTAGGGATCCGGCCTTATGGCTTCGGGTGAGGAGTTGAGGTCGGAGCTTGGCGATTTCCGAGGCACCGGCCATGTTGACAGGCAAGCCTTTGGCCCTCTTCCACGGTTACCTGACGCTCGGTGTCCTGGAAGGGAGGCTCGGTTGACTTGTAGGTGGCATTTTCACCTTCGACTCTCCACCCTCACCTCAACCCCTAAGCCTCAAACCCCTGAACCACCTTCGAGCTACTAAGAGTCTCAACCCCAAGCTCGAAACTCTGAGCTCAAAACCCTGAAACCTGAAATCCTAAAACCTGAAACCCTAAACGCAGCCCTGGGGGAACCCTATACCCTAAACTAAACCCTAGACACCAGGGCTGTCCAGCTCAGACTTGTTCCCGATCAGGACGATGCTCGTCAAGGCGGTGATCTTGCGAAGCTCTGCCAGCCTTCTCACTGTCCAGGGCTTGGGAAGTAGGGTTTAGGGATTAGGGGTTTAGGGTTTAAAGTTTATAGGGGTTAGGGATTTAGGGGTTTAGGGTTTAGGGTTTATAGGGTTTAGGGATTTAGGGGTTTAGGGGTTAGGATCTAGGGGTTTAGGGTTTAGGGCTTGGGCTTAGGGTGGGGTTACACCTGGCCCTAGGTTTCGGGTTGGTCGCTGTCCGTGGTTGGAGCACAAGCCCACCACAAGACCGCACAAACACCTTCTAGGTTCCCCAGCATCCCCTTGACGACCAAGGTCCCAGTTTCACATGCAGTTTTGACTAGAAACCATACAAAAAGATTAAAGGCTACGACTGTGGGGACCCGGCAGCTCAAGACAAAACATGAAAGCCGGCCACCCGCAAGCAAGCTGGGCCATTGAGGCGTAAGCATGGAGCTAAGCAAGGATACTAGAGGGGCCTGAATAATTCTAACAATCTTCCAGTCGAATCAAATCCCTGAATAAATGGCTATACGTCAAGATACCATCACCCCCTCGCTTTCAATTGATAATGAAAACTCATGTTGAGTGAAGCTGGAAAAAGACTGCCCACACCTGGCCGCAACCAGTTCAATAGGGCTGGAAAAGTAACACTGTTTCCAAAAAAAGGAACACACCAAACACAACAAGCCGGAATAGCTTTGAAAAGCAACCCTGGCTCTGACAATGAGGGAGGCTGTGCAACAAAGGCTTTGGAGACTTGGTTTAGCACACCATTTCAACATCGTTCCAACCTGTTCCTACTCATGAGCATCACCAAACCTTGTTAAAAGGCCTTATAATTAGATTGGGGTACTGGGCATCTTATGCTGTACTTAGAGGCGAACTATGGGGAGGATACTGCCAGAGAAATACTCTGACTTTTCAGAAGGGTGGGTACAAAAACAATTCTCAAAAAAGACAATTCGACATCTGGTTTGGGAGGGCTCACGCCTTCCAGGCCCTGTCCAAGAATACTACATGGTGTACTACATTTACTGAACCCACAGAACCGGAAAAAAAAAGAAACAACACCCTAAGAACCCAGCCACAAGTCTTATAAACAGTCTGAGCCCTACTTCCCAAAACCCTCAACCGGTACCTGCAAAACCTTGCCCCACAAAACAATGACGCAAGGGAAATCCTGACCCCACGCGCTAAACCCTCAACCCTAGACCCTGCTGTAAACCCTAAACCTGACACCCCTAAACTCTAAACCCTAAACCCCCAAACCCTAAACCCCTAAACTTAAAGCTGGTGATGCCTGTCGCGACGTCTAGGAGCCTATGGCATCGCCAGCGCACGTGCGCTGAGCACCGGCATCCGTTTCAAGAACGGATGCTTGCTCCAGCAGCTGAGCGCGAAGAGTTAGCTTCGTGCTCCGTACCCGCATTCTTTCACTTCGGAGGGTGCATTACGCTTCCAGCGTATAATAGTTCTCTAGAAACTTTATTACCCTAAAGCCTAGGGTCCGGACCGTAAACGGCTTGTGAAGTCTTGAGCTGCTTCACGAAAAGGCTTCTTGTGTGCGTGCTTTAAACCGCAGGCTGGACCCAAGCGGCCGTACGGACGGCCAGTTAAGAGCAGCCACATGAAAAGAAAGAGGGGGACCTCGAGATTCGCACTTGGCGTACATTAAAATGCACATTTTATGAACAGAATTTGTCACTCCAAAATCAGCTATTCCGAAGGGCGGCCAACTGCCCGTACGGACGGCGCCGTGTGTACACCTGACCCCGTACACTCGAACTGCCCGTACGGACGGCGCCGGTGTACTCCCTGACAGCTCGCAGGCTGGACCCCACTGCCCGTACGGACGGCGGGTTCCTGCCCGTACGGACGGCGCGGCCCAGCCAACTGCCCGTACGGACGGCGCCCTGCCCGTACGGACGGCCAGTTCGCCGAAAGCAGCCCCGTGACGGAGCTCCCTTATCTTTGCCTTCTTAATGAAAGGTTACGGCCGGTTCGGGCGGCCCAGCCAGCTGCCCGTACACTCCAACTGCCCGCACGGGCGGCGCCGGTGTACTCAGGCTGGACCCCACTGCCCGCGCGGACGGCCGGTTCCTGCCCGTACGGACGGCCGCTTCGGGAGGCCCAGCCAACTGCCCGTACGGACGACCAGTTCACCGAAAGCAGCCCCTGTAACGGAGCTCCCTTATCTTTGCCTTCTTAATGAAAGGTTACGGCCGGTTCGGGCGGCCCAGCCAGCTGCCGGTACACGCTTCGGGAGGCCCAGCCAACTGCCCGTACGGACGGCCGGATCCTGCCCGTACGGACGGCCGCTTGGGGAGGCCCAGCCAACTGCCCGTACGGACGGCGCCCTGCCCGTACGGACGGCCAGTTCACCGAAAGCAGCCCCCTGTAACGGAGCTTCCTTATCTTTGCCTTCTTAAGGAAGGGTTACGGCCGGTTCGGGCGGCCCAGCCAGCTGCCCATACACTCGAACCCGTACGGACAGCACCGGTGTACTCCCTGACAGCTCGCAGGCTGGACCCCACTGCCCGTACGCCGGATCCTGCCCGTAGGGACGGCCGCTTCGGGAGGCCCAGCCAACTGCCCGTACGGACGGCGCCCTGCCCGTACGGACGGCCAGTTCACCGAAAGCAGCCCCCTGTAACGGAGATCCCTTATCTTTGCCTCCTTAATGAAAGGTTACGGCCGGTTCGGGCGGCCCAGCCAGCTGCCCGTACACTCGAACTGCCCGTACGGACGGCGCCGGTGTACTCCCTGACAGCTCGCAGGCTGGACCCAACTGCCCGTACGGACGGCCGGTTCCTGCCCGTACGGACGGGCCCAGCCAACTGCCCGTACGGACGGGCAGTTCACCGAAAGCAGTCCTTGTAACGGAGCTCCCTTATCTTTGCTTTCTTAATGAAAGGTTACGGCCGGTTCGGGCTAAGGGAATACGTTATACGTCGTCCAAACCCCATTTTGTGCTCCCTGACAGCTCGCAGGCTGGACCCCACTGCCCGTACGGACGGCCGGAACTACCCGTACGGACGGCGCCCTGCGCTCCACCAAACATTCAGTACCGCTGTGAACGGCCCCCCGACGAAAGCCTATAAGCAAGACTTTAAATGCTAAGGGAATACGTTGTACGTCGTCCAAACCCCATATAAAAAACCCTAAACCCTAACAGATTCAATGTCTGGGTGGTCTTGGGGTGGGATGTCGCGTCCAGCTGCGGCGCGCCGCCCCGCGACCCTCTGGGTCGAGGCGCGCCGCTTACGATGGGAAACCCTTAACCCCTAAACCCTAAGCCGCTAAGCCCTAAACCCCTAAATCCTAACCCCTAAACCCCTAAACCCTAAACCCCTAAACCCTAAACCCTAAACCCCTAAACCCTAAACCCCTAAACCCTAAACCCCTAAACCCCTAAACCCTAAACCCTGGAAAGCAAGCACCAAGGCCCTGACCACATCGGCACATGGTCGAAACTCTCTCGCCTCGCGATGCTGTAGGGCTTAGGATTGAGGTGCCTACTTGGAGGGTTTAGGGTAGAGTTACTTAGTAAGTGAGGTTCCTGAAAGTTATCTAATTATAGGGCTCCTTAAAGGGATCTGTAGGGCTTCAGATTGAGGTGCCTGCTTGGAGGATCATGGGACTTAGTAAGTAGGGGGTTAAGGTTCCCTTTAAGGGATCTATAGGGGTACTATAAGGGTTTAGGGTCTACTTGGAGGATCATCGGACTTAGTAAGTAGTACCCGCCTTGGGGTTATAAGTAATCATAAGTATAGTTGCCCTATAATTATAACCTTAGTTACTAAGTCCCATGACCCTTTAAGTATGGCCCAAAAAGCCTACCTTTATACGGAATGATACCGAGAAACTATATCAAGGAGTCCTAGAAAAGGCAGGCTTTTTGGCTAAACCCCACCCTGAACCCGCGTTTAGGGTTTAGGGTTTGGTGACGGGGCTCGGAGCCTTCAGATTTCCTGCAAAGGGGGAATACAGAATTCTTCCCCCAAAACCCCCAATGCCCCGAACCCCTTATGGGCACCCTTATCGTAACCCCTATAGACCCCTTCAAGGGCCCCGGTGGCCCGAGGGTGTGGAGCCACTTTCAGGTTCGCGGCCCTAAACCCTGAACCCTAAAACCTAAGTCCTAACCCTAAACCCTAAACCTGAACCCCAAACCTTAAAGCTAAACCTAAATCCTGAACCTCAACCAGAACCTCCGAAATCCAGGCTTCCGCGACAAGGACATTCGTGTCAGAGTAGACGGCGAGTTCTAAAGCACGTGGCACTCAAAAGACTCATGGCTCTAAACCCTAGGCTCTACTCCCTACACAATAAAACCTAGTCATCAAATCCCAGACCCGCATCCCAGCACCCTTGTTCCTGTTTGAATACTGAGCCTTAACCCTTAACTCATGATGCAAACCCACAAACTTCAAACGGAGCGCTCATCTTTTCTGACACCCCTCACATCCTTCGACTTTGATAGCGATCCGGTGCCGTGGCTCTAAACGGAAAGGTGCCCCTGTACTCTCCACGAAGATCTTGGCTTCTGTTTTGGCCGCATAGTTAGTTGCCATGATCGTACTTTGAGAAACAGTCAGCAGCTCTGGTAAACCAAGAACAGAAGCCGGTACGTTTCACACACAACCCTAAACCCTCCAGCCCCAGAAGCCCGAAACCACAACCTCGAACCCTAAAATAAGTCCCTAAACCCTCTGCGCCCCTGAACCATAAGCTCCATGAGGCTCCCACCGTGTGATGTCGTAGACCTCAGACTCAGAGGTTTAGGGTTTAGGGAGCACATCTTGACAGTAGCTTGGATCCGACAGACAAGCAGATTGGCCGCGTTAGGCTTCATCGCATTTGTCACTAAGCCCTGAACCCAACAACCGTGAAGCTCGTAAGCCCTAAACTCAAACTGAATGCCAAGGTCCTCACTTCCCTATATCTCCTCCAGAGAACGTTTTCCAGTCTTACTACCCAGAGAGCCCAATAACCCTTAATTAAGGAAGATGGCTTAAATTATATAGGGCTCCATATTATGATTTAGGCTATATTCCTTAATTAAGGGGTATTGGGCTCTCTGGGTAAAGAGACCCCTCATGGCGGCGTGCCCACGAGACCCTGGCCACAAGCGCTCCCACAGCACCGTGGTAATACATTCGAATCACACTGCGGAAGCGGTCCTGCGAAGACTGGACTTTGCCCACAACTGCGGTTTCGGATTTGGTGTTTGTTGAGGGTGTTAGGTTTTCGGGTCTTGGGTCTGTTTGGGAAGGGTTTCGGGAAACAAGGACCTCCCAAAACGGCTGGGTCCTGATTTTATAAGGGCCGCTACTTCAGAGACCCCGACTTTTGGGGTTCGGGTTACGGTTGCGGGGAGACATTCCTTCTAACCCTACACCCCAAACTTTCAAGCCCTAAACCCTAACAATTCAGTTATAATGCTGAAAAATCATTGGAAGTCTCTTTCTATCACCCAAACCCCGATGATCAACCCGGTTTTGCTTCAGGCCATGCCCTCATTGGGAAGTGTTTCAACATGGCAATGTAGGGGCCTTAATGATTAGAACAGGGTCTTGGGAACATCATACTACAAGTACATACATACACACATACATATATATATATATATATACTTGTTTATTTATTTGTTTGTATAATATTTATATTCATATTTATTTATGTACTTACAAGGACTATGCAAGGGGGATACTACTGCTAAGCCTTCAGACCCTGGCCTCTAAACCCAGACACCCAATACCCCTCAATTAAGGAATACGGCTTAAATTATATGGGGCTTCATATTATGATTTAAGCTATATTCCTTAATTAAGGGGTATGGGGCTCTCTGGGAACTCATAAACCCTCACCCCAAAGCACCTAGGATGATGGGCAGCGCCTACGCGGTTTTTAGGGTTTAGGGCTTCGGGGACGACATCAACCCGATTCGGCTATTCGGTGTTCAAATGGAACCCAGAAGGAGAAGCTTCCTGGCCGGCAACGTCCCAAATTTGTAGCTTCATTTTCTGCCTCGGGACCAGGGTAGAGCAAGCCTACGGCTTTTTGGGCTTGGAGTTTGGGATTCAGAGGGCTCGGGTTTAGTGCAGGCTCCACAATTTCTGTCTTGAGCCCGAACAGTCAGCCCCACCTACACCGACACCTCCTGAAGTAACAAACTCTGCGGTTTTGGTTCGGGATTTGCGAGTAGGTCGATTGGAATCTATTAATTCCGTCAAGTTCTGGTCGCATCTTTTTGCAAAGCAGCTCCAACAAAGTAGTTGGGGCTCTTCTTGATTGACAGGGTCTTGACGGTAGTAGCAACATCTAATCCTCCTTGAGCGGTGAAACCGGTAGATTGCAGTAAACGGGACTGTCGGTCGAGCTGCAGCACTCTCTTCTCTCACCCCTCCTCTCACAACTACTTCAAAAAAGCTTCTTTGGTGGTCCTCCCAGAGAACCCCAAACCTAACCATAGAATAGTCAAGGAACCACCGGAACAAGTGTTGCATTAGTGTTGCGATTGGAGAACGTTTTGGGTCCTTAAGGGATGATAAGTTCCTCATAACTCCAGGCCCGCCCTGTTGTGGAGGCTTAGAATCATGTGCAAAGGATGTCAAGTCAGAGTAAGCTGTTTTGGCTTTAAACTTTAGGCTTAAAGGTTTAGACGTTAGGCTGCAGGGTGAACTTGGTGGGAGCCTTCGAAGACAATGGGGATTGGGTCCCCGTAGCCTCTGAACACGGGCCCATGCCACACTGCCACTTAACCCTAAACTCTAAAAAGAGCCAAACCGCGGGTACTGCTTAAGGGCTATACATGTGTGTGTGTGTGTATATATATATATATATACGTATATGTATATATATACATACATATATCTATATATGTTATGTATTTATCTGTTTAAACACTACAAAGATGAAAATATATACTAACTGTTATTACGGGTGCAGTACCCAAGCTAACCCCTTTGACCCTACACTCTAAACCACGGCCAAACCCTAACACCCGTTATTTGTAGTAACCCTTAGAGGAACCCTAAAACCCTAAATTCCTAAACCTTCTTCCGCCCCAGAGCCCCTGAAGGAAGCACTGGTTTGCTTGGCCGCTGGCCCGTCGAAGTCCAGCGTGCGCGAGCCGAAGCCCGCGCCCGAGCAATTGACCTGCTGGCTCAGCTTAATCTATATATATATATATATATATATATATATAGATAGTTAGAGAGAGATAGATAGATATAGTTGCTTTAGGATTTAGGGTTGGTTCCTTTGGGGAGCAAAAATCATTGAAACCCTCTTAGAGGACACTACAAATTTTAGCACAGTAACAAACACTAACAAAGAACCGCTAGACCCGACGGACACCTCACCCCGAAAAAATGTACCCCAAACCCAACGTCTTGAACCTCATGCCAAATCCCCCAAACCCTGCAACGTCGACGCCTGAACCCCTTAACCCCAAACCTTGAACCCTAAACCCCGAACTCTAAACCTCAAAAGTCACCAGACCTCTAAACCCCTAAACTCTAAACTCTAACCTGAACCCTGACCCCGAAACCCTGAACCCTGTAACCCCTTTTAATCTTAAGATCGTCTCCAGAAGGATTCGGATCTGAGGCTTTCCTAAATTTTCGCTGCATCTCTGAGATGGGTTTAGGGTTTAGGATTTCTTGGTTTTTTGAACTCCTTTTTACCCTCGCAGATCCAGTCTACCAGGAGTTTAGGGTTTAGGGGTTTAGCGGTGTCAGAGTTTAGCAGTGTAAGAGCTTGGGGTTTGGGGTTGCTGCACGTAGTTTTCTACGGGTGCTACATGACAACACGCGGTCGTGTTTGTGGCTTGGGGTTTCAGGGTCCTGAACCATTTGGAACATGAACCATTCGTAGTCCAGTGATCCGTCAAATAACATAGACCGATCCTTTAGCATCTATTAGCTCCCTGAGATTTGAACCCCTATAAAAAAAGCAAGGCTTTTAAAACCTAAGTGCTAAGCTCCCCAAACACTTTTCGACAAAGAAAACCCAGAGATTTTTGAACGGTCCAGGTTGCCGGCTCGGAACTGCTTAACTGCAACAAGGTTCTTTGCGTGCACGCCGCGGATTTGGGGTTTAAGGGTTAAGGATTTAGGGCTTTAGTAAACGGGTTTGGGCTTTAAAGTTGAGGGTCTACGGGCTTAGGCTTTCGGGCTCCAGGGTTTTCGCGTGTGGACAAGCACGGTTTCCCGAGATCGGGCTGGGAAATGCTCCTCGTGCAAAACTTGGGACTTTTGTCCGAACAAGGTCTGCCATTAGATACGGGGTGCCCGCGACCGCGAGCTGCATAGAGCTGCAAAGACAAAGCAATCGACCAGTAGCAGCAATCGAGAAGCCCGTGATCTGAGACCTCATGGTTGGTGCTCACCGTAACTTAGTTGCTGAGCTCATAAGCCCCAAAAAGTATACACTTTTAGTTCTATAGTGGGTGATATATAGTGGGTGGTATTATCCCACAAAGTGGAAAGTGTCTCCACTCAGCTACTAAGGTAATCTAGGCGCCTTAATACCTAGAATAAGGTTTTGGGGCCCATCATACTATACTTATAACAAGGGACCACCAAAGTAGTACAGGTACTTACTGAGGCCCCTGTATTCGTCGTCGCAGCAAGGGAACGGCAATCATGGCGAGGCGATCGGCCCCCAGGTCGGCTTGGCTGGCCTTTTCTTAATTTTCTTGGCACCGTCCAAGAATGAAAGCATGAGACGGTTTAGGGTTTAGGGTTTTAAGGTTTAGGGTTTAGGATTTTAGGGTTTAGGGTTTAGGGTTTAGGGGAGATTTTCAAGGCCCCCTAGAATAGAGTACCCTTATGGGTCCCTTATAACACCCCTTATAAGACGCCTTTACCCCTTTTAAGGGGGACCCTATTCCAAGTATGACTTGCAGAGATAGGGCTTTCAAAGATTAGCTTCCCTTTCTGAGGGCCCAAACCCAATTCTAATTATGGCCCCTATACTATAGTACCCTTATAGATGCGCTGCCTACTAGGGGATTGGCCTATTGGCCTATTTGAGCACTGTATCGGACTCGGGTCCACAAGCATCTGCATGCGTATGAACGAGTGTTCGAGTGCCCATTCTGTGCGAATGCCGACAGGTCATGGAATCATCTCGCCCTTACATGAGCCTGACTTCTTCAAGCTGTCTGGCCCAAGACCTTACAGCCAAAACTGCCAGAACTCTCCTGACCCCTAAACCCTAAACCCTTGAACGTCAAACCTTAAGCCCTGACCTTAAGCCCTAAACCCTAGACCCTAAGCCCTTGAACGGAAAACCTTGAACCCTAAACCCTTGAACCCTAAACCCCCGACAGCTTCCCGTCCCCTGAAGCCTCAACCACCGAAGTGCCAAAGCCATGTTAAGGGCCGCAGAACCCCCGACCCCCGGAACGATCTAGAAAGTAGAACCCCTAATTTGGGACCCTATACCCTGAAGGTTACTTTATGGGAACCCCCTTAAGGGATCTACTTGTTAGATCCTTTTGGAGGTCAACATTCGGGCTTATTAACACATTGGAATAGGGTTTTGAGTATAGTCTGCTTCTGTTTATATAGTAAGCCCCAAAACGTTGGAATCCGCTTCACGGACAATTAGTGCTGGAATTCCCTGTAAGGACTGAGGCTATTGGGTTTCCAACTTTTGGGATTCTACTGCAAGGGGATACTAGCAGTAATTCTTTCGACCTCTGCATTAGCCTTTTGACTGTTCATTTCTGTAAGCCTACTCTTGCTGCAGAGCCAACAACCCCTTTGCCCGGCGGTTGTGGATTGCACCGTTGCCGCGAGTCCGAGATCGAGCCTATCAGTACGATGGACGGCGGGTGAATGCAGATCATGGCAGACCCTGAGCTGTAAGTCTGACAGTAAGTTATCGGGTCCAACGATTCCACGCAATACTTCATAATCATTCATAAAGCATTCTGAGTCCCCTATCTTGCCATCGACGAACGGACGAACTCCGGCACTCACGAACTGACGAGACCATCGACGGGCAACGAAAAGACTCACAGCTAGCCGGACGGCCGCAGGTATCAGATCCGATGTAGGCATAACGACCACGACAAAGCGACGTTCCATGCCAGACATGGTGTTCACTAGACGCAGGACCGAGTCCACGACCGGCGCTGCGGCGTCCTCGCCGAAACAGGACGTGCAACCGTTGCTTTCAAGTCCTCCTTTAGGCCCGCATGGCTTGAAAAGCTCGCATTGCCTTCATCTTCACAGCTGCACCACCGCCCTGACTCGATTAATGAGCGAACCAAACAACAAACTGGACGACAGGGGATAGCCGCAATAACGAGTCCGCGACTCGACTGTGTGAGCAGACCTTGGTTTCAGCGTCGTGATCGCGACCGCACATGCATCCGTAGACCTAGGTTCTTACTGGGGTCGGCACAGATGCGAGTGCGTGAGTTGGAGCAGCCTCGTATCAAAACCACGAGGATACAATGCTCCATCCCAAGCTAGGTGCTGCACGAGACATGCGAACGAGTCCCAGACCGGCGAGTCGGCGTCCTCGATGTAAGCGCACATGCCACTGCATCCCTAAATACCTCCTTGGGGTCCGCACAGGCACAAGTGCTGGATCCTTCGCGGCCTCGTTCCGTGCACATTTAACTTTCGCGGCGCCACGACCGCCTACCCTATGCTTGGTGCCGCACCGGAGCCTCCTGGCAACCAGGGGTCTTCGGCACCTGCCCGAGACGGGCCCCACCATGCGGGTTAGGGCGAGGAATCGAACAGGATATCACGTTCAGTATCTCTCACCCTCCCGCGGGCCTACACTCATGCACCTGTGCACTCACTCACCCACTCGTTCACTCACTCATTCACCTACGCCATCTCTTCTTTCCTCGCCGCTCCGCGCGCAGCTTCAGATGTTGCTGCCTCGGGGCTGCTTGTAGCTGTTGGCCGGTCATGTCCCTGGTTCAGGTGCATGACGGGTACGCTTGCGCCCTCATCTCCCTCACATTTGCACCTATTGCGAGTCATGAACCCATTCTTCTTTTTCAGCTACGATGGCTCCATTCAAAAGGGGAATGTCGCATGGACACAAACCGAAGCAGCGGAACATGCTCGGCGGGGTAAACACCTCCCAGCGTGGTTTGGCCGCCACCTCGGAACGCCCGACTCGCGTAGCAACCACCGCCCCCGGAAGCAGACCCCTCCTCGCTGAGAGATTGACCTATGATACTACTTACAACAGCATGACATTGGAGTGACGTCAGATACTCTGATTCACAGACCCGTCCTCTCGACATTATTAAGTCTGGAGCTTGGGCCATGCTAAATAGTATCCGACTTCATCTCATAAGGTCGGTGCCCATTGAAGCCGTTCTGCACGAGTAGCCTGAACTTACGCGAAGACCGGAAGATATGGCTTACTGGTAAAGCCCCCAGCCTGCCGACCAAAGATCCTCCAGATCGCCTGGCGCAGCCAGATCCACCCAAAAGCAGATGGGATAATGTCGAGCAAAACAACCGTACCGGAACTCGAGCTGAATATGCCAGGCCCCCAACTCGGCTTGGCAAACTCACACGGGTGAAACTGCCCTGCACGTCGCAACGCACATGAACCGTGCATCGACAAGGAAGACTGCGTGCGCGGCTCTTTGCACTGCCCACTTGTTGGCCTCGCCACCCAACGAACGGGGCATATGCCGGAGCGTCGAAACGATCACCGGACGAGTAAGGCCCCGGCAGCCCGACGGAATTTCACCTGGCAAAGTTCAATGAGAGACAATATGGTTACAAGCACGGGGAGCTGCAGGTGAGAGTCAGTTACTATCACCGACTCACCTGGACCCGGCGTCGCCGGCGCAGCGCCTGATAAGGAAGAAGTAACCCAAGACTTGAGACAGGAGTACACGTACCAGTGAACGGAAGCCAACCTCGAGTTTACAGGACCTTGATTCGCCTCCGATGACACAGAACCCGGCACCGACAAACAAACCTCAGAGTAACACCCAGCCCACACTTCGCATGTATACTAGCTCGCCCCGCATAATAACGGCGTGCCTCCTTTATCAGGGTCAGCAGCAGCAGTACCGCCCACATGGCTCGTGTAAGAAGAGAAGAGCGAAAACAATTCCGGATGCGAATGCCACATTCGGTTGACAACTGACTGTATAGCAGTATAGCATAGAGCCGTAAAGTCGTATGCGTGCGTCAAGTACATCTGCCGTGCTGTGTGCAATGTGCACGGTCGTTGCCCGCTTGCGTGAGTCACTTAGCTCAAGTTCCGAAGAATCTACACAAACGAGCCACAAAGCGTCGGCAGCCCATGCGCGAGACGCTGGAGTACTTCGAGCATGATTCCTACAATTAAGAGATTCTTGCGTGGACACACTGGTATAACCTAAATGAATTAATTCATCAAAACAAAAAATATCATTCTGGCCATCCTCAAATCATGGCCAACATCATCATAATTTTATCATTGTCGTAAACATCATCCAAAAATCATCCTCATCCGCAGTCTGCATAGACGAACCATCCCCATCAGTAAGTTGGAGCATCATATCACCAGGAGTAGTCAACTCCCCACTCTCTACTTGCAGAACCTTGTAGATGTCGATTGTGGACATGTTGTGGCAGTCGATGGTGACACCAGTGACGCAGAGATTAGAATGAGGGGAATGTGCTCGAAGCTTCTTTTTGTCCTCCTGCTGGAAAATCCTCCCTGTTCACTCCAGCCCCCCCACTTCCACTGCAGAATCTAGACTCGAAAGACTCTATGTTCTAGACTCTGGACTGTAATGTGGACTGCATTGCGATGTGCATCGTGTGCGCAGACAACAGAAACACAGGTGATCAGGGCGAGGATGTGCTGGAGGATGATTTGAAGAAACCAGGACTGGGGGGGGGGGGGGATGGATTTGAAGATGATTTTGGGATGGCAGTATCGGAGGATGATTCGGTGATGATGAGCCGCGGCCTCAAAGTGTCGTTGAGTTGTCGGGAAGGGGGGGGTGGGTGGGGGAGGGGGCAGGGGGGGGGGGGGGGGGGGGGGGGGGGGGGGGGGGAGAAGCGGCGGAGCGGGATCTCCAAATTGGTGGTTTGCTAGAAGATTGACACCCCTCCCTACTCCCCTCCAAAAATCCCCACCTCTGGACCCACCGACCCTGCCAAAGGTTTGGTGGGCTGATTCCCTCGAGACGTCTGGGCTTTTGTCAAGAATTGTGAGCCTACATTGGGAGCCCTCAAAACCTCCAGATTTCACCGAGCACTGGCCGCCCTGTTTCTGTTTTTTTTCGAGAGCTCCAGGTTTCACCTACATTGGGCGCCCTTGAGAGCTCCAGGTTTCACCTACATCGGGCACCCTCAACAGCTCCAGGTTTCACCTACATTGGACACCCTCAAAAGCTCCAGGTTTCACCCACACTGAGTGCACTCGATCAAGAGCTCCAGGTTTTAGAGAACTCCAAGATTCACCTACTTGGTGCCTCGTGGAAAGCTCCAGGTTTCACCTACCCCAAGCGTTGTCGAGAGCTCCAGGTTTCACCTACTCTGGACACTCTCCAGAGCTCCAGGTTTCACTTGCTCTCGGTGCACTCGATCAAGAGCTCCAGATTTCAGAGAGCTCCGCGTTTCACTTACTTTGTACCTCTTGGAAAGCTCCAGGTTTCACTTACTCTGAGCGTTTTCGAGAGCTCCAAGGTTTCACCTACTCCGAGCCTCCTCGAGAGCTCCAGGTTTCATGTACTGTGGGTGCACTCGATCGAGAGCTCCAAGTTCCAGAGAGCTCCAGGTTTCACCTACTTTGTGCCTCTTGGAAAGCTCCAGGTTTCACTTACTCTGAGTCAAGAGCTCCAGGTTTCACTTACTCTGGGTGCACTCGATCAGGAGCTCCGGCTTTCAGAAAGCTCCATGTTTCACCTACTTTGTGCCTCTTGGAAAGCTCCAAGTTTCACTTACTCGGAGTGTCTTCGAGCTCCAGGTTTCACTTACTCTGAGCCCTCTCGAGAGCTCCAGGTTTCACTTACTCTGGGTGCACTCGATCAAGAGCTCCAGATTTCAGAAAGCTTCATGTTTCACTTACTTTGTGCCTCTTGGAAAGCTCCAGGATTCACCTATATACTCCGAGTGTCTTCGAGCTCCAGGTTTCACTTACTCTGAGCCGTCTCCAGAGCTCCAGGTTTCACTTACTCTGGGTGCACTCGATCAAGAGCTCCAGGTTTCAGAAAGCTCCAAGTTTCACCTACTTTGGGCCCCTTGGTTTATACCGAGCCCACAAGGCGGGGTAGGGTGTAGGTGCGGGGTGGGGGGTAGGGCGTACGGGGTTGGGGGTGGGGAAGGGGTAGGGTGGGCAGGTAGGAGTGGAGGTGAGGGGGTAGGGCGAGAGGAGGGGAGGGGGGAGAAGCGGCGGAGCAGCAGGGGCAGTCTGGGGAGGGGGGTAGAGGGCAGACCTCTGTTTGGGGTTGGAAATCTACAAAAATCACCACCCCTGAACCTACCGACCCTGCCAAAGGTTTGGTGGGCTGATTCCCTCGACACGTCTGGGCCTTTGTCAAGAATTGCAGGTTTCAACAAGTCTTCCAAGCTTGTTCCTGGAGCTCCCAAAGAACATACTCTGAGCTTACATTGGGAGCCCTCATATCTCCAGGTGCCCTTGACAGCTGCAGGTTTCACTTACATCGAAGGGTTCCTTTAGAGAGGCCGCCATGAAAAGACTAGGGGGGTTTGGTGGTATAGCAAAAGATATACGCATAGTGTGAACGGCAAAATCTGCCGCCCAGCCTCAATCCACGTAAACCTTGAGCACTGCGCCCTTATTTTCTGATGGAACTCTCACTTCTCGATGGCTGGGCTTAGGGCTTAGGGTTTGGGGTTTAGTGGTTAGGGTTTAGGGTTTAAGGTTTTGGGGTTTAGGGTTTAGGGTTTAGGGGGTTTAGTGGTTAGGGTTTCGGGTCCGCGCACCCACCTCGTGGAGTCGTTGGAACCTCCGAAGGGTGGGCGACGTAGGGAATGGGCTTGGAGGGTTTGGGTTTGGGGGCGATGGTGTATAAAGCCTAGGACCTGGGGTACCCTGGCCCAAAGCAGTTTAACCTTTTTCAATCATGGTAAGTGTATACATCCCAAAAATCAAAGGTTACCTACTCAGCTACTAAGTAAACCTTAGGGGCATGGGGCTTAGGGAGTTTAATTTAAGGTCGGGGCATGTAAAGTTCAAGGGTTTAAGGCTCAGGGTTCAACATATGCATTGAAAAGATATTACAGCAGGTATAAACATAGCACTAAACCCCAAAAGCTGCACCCGAAACCATGATACTAAGTCTTGTGACCCTGTGTTAGGGTTGAAGGTTTTCGAGGATTTAGCTCGGCAACGGCTGTTGGGCGTTTAGGATTTAGGGTTATTGGCTAGAAGAAATGCAGGAATGTAAAGGACTCCCTTTTTGGTGTTGGGTAGCTTTTGAAGGAACCAAAGACCGCAAAAAGGCACAAACAGCCCACGGGGAGACCTAGCTTCGGGTTTGGGGCCTCCGGCTTTAGGTTCTGGTGGGTTTTTTGTCTTTACATGAGTGGAGGTCTGGCTCAACAACCAGCTCTGCCACAGCTGCTGCAAATCCAAATCCAGTCACTCACAGCTTCGCCCTCCAGATGGGTGGTTGTCAAAATTATGGTCCCTTTTTGGGTCCCTTTTATAGTACGGCACCTAATATTTAGGGTACCCAAAAAGGGACCCGAATTTTGACAACTACCCAGATGGATGTGATGACATCCGGAGGCCGGTTTGTCCGGCCGGTCAGGTTGAAGGACACGGCTGGTGAACAAGAATGCCTCGACGGAGAACGTTTCTGACCCAGGAAGCTCAGCAGCAGGCTTGCAGATTGGATATTCCGCTCCTGCGTTGAAGCCTTTCCCGTCGATTCTGAACGTTGAAGCAGCTATGGAAGCCTTTCCCAGACTGCTGGTCTCTTCAACCCTGTCCTGCGACTGCACCAGCTTTCACTGCTTGGTGCTTCAAACGCCCATAACAATCGGACACAACTACCTCTGACCAAACGGAGTAATTCGGTTGATGATATAAATCCTGCATTACCCATAATAAGGAATATGCCATAATTCCCATAGTTTAGGGTCCTTAAGGTAATGCAGGATGTATATCATCAACCGTTGGAATGCAACTGCTCACGCATCTTGGAACTCAATCGGGCTCTTTGGAAGCGCTGCCTGGTTGACAAGTGCTCCCCAGTCTCTCGACTGCCTGTCATGGCCTAGTTCTTCTAGGATACCCAGTAACCTAAGAATAAAAAGGCCTCTCTTTTTGGTATTGGGTAACTTTATGAGGAACCTAGGACTACAAAAAGGGAATAAGGGTACTACTGGGCATCCTAGTCTTGAACCTGCATGGGCAACAGAAGAAGCCAATCACGGCTTGAACTGAGCTGAAGCGCTTCACTGTCAGCTCAGCGTTCCGCAGCTCTAGCATCAACACAACTTCTCCACACTGCTAGGAGGGTAAAGCGGCAACTAGTTCACTTCGCTGCCACCCCAACAAATCGATCTTGCTTCTGCAAAGTTGAGAGCATGTGCGACAAGTTCGAAGATGCAGTGACAATCCTAGCGGCAGGGGCAAACCACCACAAGCGATATTTAGTGAATTCCCCAGACAAGTACTTGGACGCAATTTTCTCCTTATGACCTTATGAGTCTTCGGCAGTAAAAAACCTTACCCACGAAGCATTTAGGACGATTTAGGGAATTTTGGGGTTCGGGGTCCAGGGCTTCCCAAACCCTAAACCCTAAACCCCTAAACACTGAACCCCTAAACACTGAACCCCTAAACCCTAATACCCGAATACCCTAATACCCTAGACCCATAGCCCGAAGACCCCTGAACCCCCTGTACCCTTAACTTAGGGGCTGAGTACCCGAGCCCCAAAAAAGATTAACCTTTTCAATTATGGTGGGATTTTAAAAACCCCGAAAAATTATGGGTTACTCAGATACTCAGTTAAGCCCTATGCAATGGAAGACCTGCCTCCTCTCGGTGAACTGACTCCGGATGGAGGTCTTCCCGACGACCTGGGAAACCTATCAAGTGTAATTGGGCGGTAACTGTGACTGGCACAGTTGTTTCGGGTTTAGGGTTGAGGGCTTCAGGCTTATATAGAGCTCGCGAGTATCATTGGCTCCAGAACTGCTGTCGAGTATCACAATCTTACAGGCTTGAGGATTGGTGCTGGACTGCCTCTTGGGCTGCGACATTTCAGCATGAACATGGAGTTGAACATCAGCAACGAAACCTCGTTTGCTATCAATTTTCACGACTCTCTCGAACATCACCATCACCACCGCCCCTACCATGCAGAACACATCCCACCGTCATTCTCCTCTGCATGGTCGTCGTCATCATCACCGTCATTGACCCATCATGCAGTCACGGTAAACCCTCCCCGTGCTCTAGTCTGTTGTTCCTTCTTCAGCCCAGATACATACACCTTGAACCGTACAATAACGGCGGCGATATGGCTGACAGCCACGGCGGAAGCATCGAAGTTAAAGTCAAAACCTTTCATAGTTCAAAGACCCCCCCCCCCCCCCGCCCGTCAACCTAATCTCAGACCCCAAGCCCTCAACCCTTCGTGGCTTAAGCGATTCGTCATGGTAGTTTACATGCTGGCCTGGGTGCTCAACCCTAAACACCAAACCTTAAACCCTATAAAACCCATAAAACCCTATAAAGCCATATAATCCTTAAAAAAACCGTATTTTTTCAAAAAAACTTATTATAAAAACGCGCAGGATGAAGAACCAACACCGGTGCCTCATCGCCGACGATGAGGATCTTGAAGAGCTTGCTGTAGTCCTGGCCCCACAAGCCCTGAACTCAGAACCCTACCTGAAAGGATCATGCGACGTACTGCTGATGGACAAAATAAGGGTACCCTTGAGGGGTTCCTTTAAGGGATCTATAGGGGGTTTTGGGTTTAGGGTTGATGATATAAATCCTGCATTGCCCATTATAAGGAATGGAATATACCATAATTCCCATAGCTTAGAGTCCTTAGGGTCATGCAGGATTTTGTCCATCAACAGTAGTAACTAGCTTCAGGGGTTCCTTCAAGGGTTCCACAAGGCGGCTCTGTAAGGGATCCATACAGGGTTGAAGGCTTCATAAGAGTCTACTTAAAGGCTCATGGGACTTCTAGACCCAAGAGTAACCTAGGAATAAAAAGGGTGCCCTTTTTGGGATAAAGGGGGTTATAAGGGAACCTAAACCCTTAAAAAGGGAATAAGGGCCTACTCTGGGTCCTAGACTTGGTAGTAAGGTTCTAAATGCCTTAGAAGTGGTTATAAGTAGAATTACCTTGATGATAACCCCCGTTACTAAGCCCCGTGACCCGTTAAGTAGGACCCCGACACAAAGGCCCCCAAGGAGAATCGAGGCAAGAGGTCTGCAAAGGAAGGTGCTTAGTTTAGCCTCCCGCCCAAGCGTCTTGCCGCACTTGCACAGGTGCTTGATGTCCTGCGTTTTCCAGCAGATTCGGCCTGTCTACACTGGAATTCGCGCGCGCTCTCAGCATTTTCGGCTCCTGCATGCTCGGTCCACCCACTTCGTGCGTCCGTGCACAGTACTGAAGCGCCCAGCTGCAGGGCGTGCGACACCGCTGCGGCGGCCGGCTTGTCACCCTGCCAGGGCCGCATCGCAGCCCGCCATGTTAACGTCCACTCAGACCCCATCCGATGTCGCAGAGCATGCATGGGCCAACCATGTTAACGTCCACTCAGACCCCATCCGATGCCGCGGAGCATCCATGGGCCAATCATGTTAACGTCCACTCAGACCCCATCCAATCACACGCGACATCCATGGGCCAGCCATGTTAACGTCCACTCAGACCCCATCCGATGTCGTAGAGCATCCATGGGCCAGCCATGTTAACGTCCACTCAGACCCCAATCTGATGTCGCAGAGCATCCATGGGCCAGCCATGTTGACGTCCACTCAGACCCCATCCGATGTCGCAGAGCATCCATGGGCCAGCCACGTTGACGTCCACTCAGACCCCATCCGATGTCGCAGAGCATCCATGGGCCAGCCACGTTAAGGGCAGCCATGTCAACATCCACGCAGACCCCATCCGAGTACGCGGAGCATTCATGGGCCAACCATGTTAGCGTCCACTCAGAACCCGTCCAATTACGCAGAGCTTTCGGCCCGTAAACGCCGACCTGAAGCCATCCAGCTCCCTCAACTCCGACACTCTACACACCCTTGCATCTTGCCCTTCCAGGGTTTATGTTGGGATGGATTTTATGTTAAAAAAACATCCTAACATAGAGGGGTTTCTCATCATAGGGAAGTCCGTTTCGTCCTGTATTTTACATTAGTTTCTGCTTTTGCGAAGACAAGCCAATACATAGTCTGCGGCGAGACGTCCGGGCGCAGCGTTTAGGGTTTAGGTGTTAGGGTTTAGGGTTGCTGTTCTTGGGTGTCGATTGGGGCTGAAGCCTACACCTGAACCTTAAAACTTAAACCCTAAACCCAAACCCTAAACCCTTAACCCTAAACCCTAAACCCTAAACCCTAGCCCTGAACCATAAGCCCTAAACCGCAAACTCTAAACCCGACCAAAGCCCCTGGGAGCTCTAACGGTCAAGGCTGCCCGACCTGAAGATCCCGAACATCTTTCAAACCAGGAGCCCTTAACCACCTGGTCCCGATCCTCAACCCTACGTTTAGGGGTTCAAGGTTTCGGGCTCATGTTTGAGGAGAATTGACATGATTATGGCCAACAAAAGTTTCCTGAACTAGACTTCATGGGTCGCTCCGTCGCTTTTCGTGCTCTGGTTTGGGGTTTAGGGTTGAGGGTTGAGGGTTTAGGGTTTAGGGTTCAGGGTTTAAGGTCTAGGGTTTAGGGTTTGGTTGAGGGTTTAGGGTTTAGGGTTTAAGCTTTAGGGTTCAGGGTTTAAGGTCTAGGGTTTAGGGTTTGGTTGAGGGTTTAGGGTTTAGGGTTTAAGCTTTAGGGTTTAGGGTTTAAGGTCTAGGGTTTAGGGTTTGGTTTAGGGTTTAGGGAATCCCCCAAACACCAACGAAAAGGGCAGTCAACTTAAGGCACCTACAGACACACCCCTTGAATAAGAAATCATAGACACCCTTCGAGACCCCGAAACCCCAAAATGCGCCTACTCCTTCAACCCTATACTCTAAACCCTGAACCCGACTCGTCTATCAAACAACCAAGCCTAAGCCCTAAACCCTACTCCCCAACCCGAAACCCAAAAGCCATCCTGGAATGCCCGCCCCCTAAACTGGGTCCTTGTGCAGGGATTTCGTTAATTTAGACTACCACAATGCAGAAACCGTATTATTTACTGATGGTCACGCAAAATACAGTCCTTAACCCCTAAACCCCTCTAGAAACCTTCATGGAGCAGAACCCGAAATTATGGTAGCTTAAATTGAATCCCTTAACCAGAACCCAGACACGCAAACCCGGCCTGAAAACAAAGCTACGGACCTTGCCTTTTGAACTCTGGGCTCTACCTTAAACTACCAGCAGCCTGGTTTTCTTCGGGGCTGAGTACCCTAGCCCAAAAAATGATATCCTTTTCAATTATGGTAGGAATATATAAGCCCCGAAAGGTTAAAGGTTACCTACTGAGCTACTAAGTTTTTTGTAGGTTCCGATTATAAGCCCTACTGCTGATGGACAAAATCCTGCATGACCCTAAGGACTCGAAGCTATGGGAACTATGGTATATTCATGGGTAGTGCAGGATTTTGTCCATCAGCAGTAGCATGGATTTCAACGGGACCCTACAAGAAGGTTGGCTCTTCTGGCGCAAGGTATAAAGCCCTGAACCCTAAGGACCCCAAGCCTTGAATCCTAAAGCCACAAAACTACAGACCTTCAGAAGGCTTGGGGCTTTTACGGGTTTATGTATTTAGGGTGTGGGGTGTAGGGTTTAGGGTTTCGGGCTTCGGTTTTAGGGCTTGCTGCTTCAGGTGTTAGGCTTCGGTTCTAGATGGGTATCCCCCGGCCCCGCGCCCTCCGCTCCTGGTGTAAGCTTGCTGCACCTGGTGGGCCATGCAACTACTGACCACTGCGGGGTTTCCTGGGGAAGTGGGCTCATAAGGAACTTTTTTCTGGGCTCGCATCACCGGCCGTAGGATTTTCTAATTTGGTGTTGTCAGCGCTTCTGATGATTCGTGGTGCCTCAACCCGAAAGCCCTAAACAGTAAAGCCCTAAACCCTGAAACCCTAAACCCGAAACCCCAAACCCAAAACCCTAAACCCATCCCTTATAGATCCCTTGAAAGGAACTCTTATAGAACCCTAATTAAGAACCCACAAGCTAAGACTAAGGCTCCTCCAAAGTATTGATCCTGCTTTCTTTCGAGAGTCGTGCTTGCGGGCATGGGCACACCCGCCCGCCCACCCACGTACCCTGGGCCCTTGCTAAGGACCTCAATTTAAGTTACCATACCAGGGATCTATAGTAAATAATATGGTTTCCTTATTCTTATTATGGTAACTTGAATTAAACCTCTTAACAAGAACCCACGTACCTACCCGCAGACCGACACACCGATCCACCCATCCACCCTCGTGACGAGCGAAATGCAGAGCGTACCGCGAGCGAAATCCGTGAAGAGCGAGTAAGTGGTGGGACACTCCCCGGAGTTAGAAGAGAGGGCATTCTGGGTCGGACGCACCATATTGGTCTCGGAGAAGTATGAACAAGCGCGATGGGCAGAAGGTCCTAGAAGCGATTAGCTTAGGCTTGGCCTACGGTTCAGGGTCGAAGAAATGAAACATTTGAGGGTGGGTAGGTACGTGGGTTCTTGTTAAGAAGTTGAATTCAAGTTACCAAAATAAGAATAGGGAAACCATACTATTTACTATAGATCCCTGTTATGGTAACTTAAATTGGGGGGGGAGGGGGTCGGTTCAGTCGGGCTTGGGGTTCGGGGCTTTGATACAGGGACCTTCACAAGAAGAAGAGTTTTTGGCGGTACAGGAAAAAGTATGCTCATGTCAAGAAACCACTAAGTCCCGAACACTGAATCCGAAACCCCCAAGCCCAAAAAAGTTAGCCGCAAACCCTAAATCACCAAAACCGCTCATACTCCTCACACGAAGCCCTAAGCGACTAAAGCTCTAAACCCTAAACCCCTGAACCCCTAAACCCTAGACCCTAAACCCCTACTCCAAAAAGAAGTAGGCCCTGAACCCTATTCCCAGTATAGAATCCCTATAGATCCCTTTAAAGGAACCCTAAAAGACCCGGGCAGAAACCCCAAACCGTGAACCCCACCCGGCCTCGAGATATCGGAGAGCCACCGGACAGGTAGGGACCTCAGATTTCGCGCTTAGGGGCTGGAGAGGGTTACTATAAGGGATCGGCTTTTCTGAGGGTTCCGTTAAAGGGATCAAAAGGAGATCTAGAAAGGGTTTAGGGCTAAGGGTTTAGGCTAGGAACCTGATTAAGAAACCTTGGGCCCTTATCAGGGTGCCATGATGAATCCTACTATTTTGGTGTTATAGGCCCAGGGTTTCTAAGTCAGGTTCCTAAACTAGTGTTGTGGGGAAAGATTCCCAGGCAGCGAAGCGGCAAACCCACAAACCCTTGGAGGACACTTGGCAAAACCTCCTAGGGACTAGGTTTAACGTTCAGGGCCGAGGCTTTAGGGCTTACGGTTCAACGCAGGCCGTTGTTTTGCATCTCAGCACATCAGGCGGAGCTAAGCCGTTCCAGAACCGGACAGACGGCGTTGACCCAGCAATACTTTAGACTTTAGCTTTCAGCATTGGCTTAGCCCTCGGAATGCTTAGGACGTTGTGGTTTTGCCGGCGGTAGGGGTTAAAGCCTTCAGCTTAGCAAAGCCTGAACCAAAAATTCTTACCCCCGAAAAACGCGAACACAAAGTTGATAAATCTGAAAGCCCCAAATGCCAGAGGAACCTTTATAGTGACCGCATATAACATATAACCCTTCAAACGGCTGCTCTAAACATCTAGAAACCTTGCAGCTTTGCCGGGGAGCTCCAGGAAAAGAATCTTGGTGCCGCTTCCGCCTCGGGCTGGGTGCCCAGGAGCCTCGCTAACAGGTTTACCGTTGAGGGTTTGAGGTGCAGGAGTTGAGGGTTTAGGGTTTAGGACTTAGGGTTTATTTTGGTTTAGGGTTTAGGACTTGGGGTTTATTAGGGTTTAGGGTTAAGGGTCAAGGGTCAAGGGTTTAGGGTTTAGGAGCTTATGAGTTTAGGGCTTGAGGTTCCGGGTTTAGGGATTAGGGTGCAGGGCTTGTTCAAAGAGTGACACAGGCGGAATATCGAGTCTTCGTGATTAGAATCGGCAAGTCAACATATTGTGGTGTATACACATACACACATATATATATATATATATATATATATATATTCATATATATATATAGGTTGGTATACGGACTGTATGCGGACATGAACAACTAGCTCCCTAGAAGCCCGGCTTGAGGATTCCCGGCGCCCTTCATAATAAGGACATCCTTGTTCATACTTTTCGCTTTTAATAAGGAGGCCCCAAAATAAAAAGTTGGCAAAGAGTACCGCTGGGGACCTGGTACAGGTTTGCAAAGGCCTCAGAATAGGGATAAAGGGCAATGTAGGAACTTGATCAAGAAACCCTGGCCCTATAACCCCTGAACCCTAAAACTTTTTCCAGAAGCCATCTCCCCAAACCCTAAACCCTAAACCCTAAACCCTAAACCCTAAACCCCAAACCCTAAAATCGACCTTTCGCCTCTGGCTATAACTCGGACACCTGCGTGGGTTTAGGGAGTGTCTACTTCATACCTCCTGAGTCGAGGCAACCATAGATTCAAATGACGACAAGCCCGATCGAGTAGTATGGGGGGCTTAGCAGGCTTAATAGCTGGCAGAGGATTTGGGGATTTTGGGGTATACTGGGACAATCAAGGGATGCTATAGCCTTAGCGAGTTATTCCGACGGCTACACTACTTACAAACCCATGCCACCTACAACTACCCATACGACATAGGCAGCGCATGCTAAACCTGACAAACCCATTGCAGTTCAGACACAGCTTTCCGCAAGCAGGAGACCCTGAAACATGTCCTGGTTCGCAGGATCTGGAAAATCAAGACCCCTTAAGACTTCAGAGAGACCCATGTTGACCCATGTCTGTGCCTCTGCGGGCTAGGCTTGTCCCTGAAGCAGCACAGCATGAGTCCACCCACCTGGGAGGAGCTAGATTTCTTCGTGAAGTCTGGTGTTGGCGGGATCGGACCACCCTTGTGGGAACCGTAAAGGATCCCTTAAAAGGAACCTGAAACGACGTACACTACCCTTAAAGGCCTCAAAGCATCTCCAAACCCTGAACCCCTAAACCCCCCAAAAGGATCCAGCGCGTGGCTTCAGAGGACATTGCCTTCTTCGGGGGATCAGGCTGGTTTAGGGTTTAGGGTCAAGGTTTAGGGTTTGAAATTGCGTGTGTTTCGGTTTTGGGGCTTGAAGTCACGCCACAGATCCAGCGACGATTCGGGGTGCAAGGAATGGCGGGATATTGGGGTTCGGGATGTGCAGTGGTCGAATGGGCTTGACTCAGCTGTCCCAAATCCAAACTCTGAACCATAGCCATAGACCCCAACCTTACTTCCCCTCCCCCGATCCTGAACTCCCCCAAACCCACACCCTACACTTCATCTGTCTTCAACCAAAACCCTTCCGAGGTCCTAGGTCTTACCGTAAGCAAAACTTTGAATCAACAAGCTTTCCATTGCCTGTCGGCTTTACAGCCTAAACCCGCCTGCACCCACTTACTTCTCCGGGGTCGCTGCCTCTTGCGGGGCCGAAGTGCGCAGCTCCCTACTTTGGGGCGCCCCGCGCCTTTGAGTAAACGAGCTGCATAGAGCGGCCACATGGTCTATGGTCTCAATAAGTCGATCACATAAACGGCTTCTGCAAGCCCTGAACCTATCGCAGTAGAACGCTAGACCATAAACTCAGTTTTGCGGTTTGGGGTTGCAGTTCAGGTTTGGAGTCTAGGCTGATGCGTAGCTAGAAGTAGGCTTGCAAGTGCAGCAACGACAGCTGACTCTCAGAACCCTGCTTGTAACTGCCCATGAACCACCTAACTCTATAAAACCAGACATCACACTTGGGCTTCCACCTTCAACACCACACGCATAACATGACTGATAAACCCTGAACCCAGGTCGACCTACCAGATGCACCTCTCCCTCTCCCCCTCCCTCCCTCTCTCTCTCTCTCTCTCTCTCTCTCGCGCTCTCTCTCTCTCTCTCTCGCTCTCTCTCTCTCTCTCTCCCTCTCCCCTCTCCCCTCCTCTCTCTCTCTCTCTCTCTCTCGCTCTCTCTCTCTCTCTCTCTCTCTCTCTCTCCCGCTCTCCCTCTCCCTCTCTCTCTCTCTCTCTCTCTCTCTCTCGCTCTCTCTCTCTCTCTCTCTCTCTCTAAGGCCCTCGGACTTTGGCCTTCAGCTGACACCGGATCGCAACTTCTCGGTACTTCGATTACGGGCTCTTTGGGTTCAGGGCTCTCCTCTGCTTCCGGGCGCAGTCTGTCGCAGTGTAATTGGGTGTTGGGGCCCATTATAGCAGCTGCCGTCGATGATAGTTCGCTATCTTTCTCCACAGGGCCAGAATCCACAGTTTGAGTCGGGGAAGGTGTGTGATAGCAACAGCCCCGTACACTTAGCCCTCTCTCTCCCCATCTATCTGCTATCTATCTGCTATCTATCTATCTATCTATCTATCTCTCTCTCTCTCTCTCTCTCTCTCTCTCTCTCTCTCTCTATAGCTAATGTCAAAAAAACCGGCTCATCTACTACAAAGTAAAGCTGTCAGGAACACGATCGGATCGGACCTGTTTACCCCGCGGGTGGTTGTCGGGAGCGACGAGTCCACGCACATCACTCTCGACGAAAGTCAGCTAAGTCATTCAACGTGGGCTGTCCGCACATTAATCATGAAAACAACCTCTAAGATGGAAGCCGTCCTCAGCCATATAGAGCCCTAAGTAAGCCCTAAACCCTAAGCCCCTTCACCCTATCTCAAGCCTAAACCTCGTTTAAGTTTGCCTGCATGAGGAAGCGCTCAGATCTAGGGTTCGGCAGTTTGAAGTTTTGGAGCTTTGGCTTCGGATTTGAGGCTCAGGGCCTTGTGGCTTAGGACTCTGGGGTTTAGGGTGTAGGGCGTTGGGGTGTAGGGCTTTGGGGCTTCTTTTTTTTAGGGATTAGGGTTCAGGGCGTTGGGGATTAGGGCTTTGGGGTTTAGGGTTTAGGGCGTTGGGGTTTAGGGTTTAGGGTGGATGCCTGAACAAGATACCCCGTCGGGGAAGGATGATCAAATCGGTTGTACCCATTCCGCACGGATGTTTCGATTCACTGCCTGTTCGATCTCTTCCCCCTTCAAGATCGGGATGATTCGGGGATGTCGACGGATAATACGAAGCGCATCAACAAATACAATAAGCATGCTATAAATGCAACGGGGACCATATGGGCATGCATTGCTAACTATTCAGATGTCTTCTGTGCGGAAAACATGATGCCGGCCAGCCGGGGCTATCGAATTAATGCGGCAAGCTCTGTGTGGTTTGCTCGCATAGGCCCACCGTGTCACTGATAGGTGACCATCGAATTGGGCAGTCGAGGTCGGGGTCTGCTCTTCGATGTTTTCTGTGTTGGTTTCGGAGCGTAGGGTTTCGGATCTGGGGTTTAGGGTTTAGGGTTTAGGGTTTAGGGTTTGGGGGTTTAGGGTTTTTTTTTTTTAACCTATGTTGGCGGCCCTTTCTCCGAACGCACCAGCCCTTTTCGGGCCCATAGCGTGAAACTGCCTGACGTTACAGGCCGACGTTGACTACATGACTACGCGGAACCACTCTCCAACCCCTCGGTCGTCTGATCTGTTGCCGTCGTTCGATCTTCAACGTTCAGAGTATCTGCCGTAGTGGTAGTAGCGAAAGCGACGGGCTCGACCAGCGGGATCTCCAGGTTCTCAGCAGGCACATCCTCAGGCGGTTCCAGGATCTCGGCGACATTCGGGATGGCAGCGATTCCCGTCGTGAGCCCCTGACACTCCCCTGTTGTAGCTGGTACTGAAGAATCCTCGTCATCTGCAGAAACATCATCAGGATCAAAAGGCGCCTCTATGCCCGACTCGTATTCCTGCCTGTTCATCCCCTCAGTCTGAACCGTCTCAACTGCTTCCCCTTCTGTCGGAGCCGGCGTGCGCCCCAACGTTATACTCCCACCCCCCAGAGTGCCAAGTAGTAGTTCATTGACACGTAGCTGTCTGGGGTTTAGCCCCGTGGTTTCCGTGATAGAGGCCCAGCTGTCATCAATGGTCCACGTCTGTTCAGGTGCACGAGACGGCCGCCCACCATATGGCCCATGTTGCCTCCATGGCGATGTGGGTCTGGTATTCCGGGCCCCTGTGGTTGGATGTGCAGTGTTTACCAGGCCACTGGTATGCAGTAGGGACCACAGCTGTGCCACTACAAGCGCTGCAACCCGTTGGGCAAACACTTGTTCAGCCGGCGTGAGGTCACCCAAATCATCTCCTGCAACAACCCCCATAGGGGCACCTTCCAGACTGTCTGGTTGTTCAGGATCCTCTGCTTGGTCAGCTTGCCATACATCATCAAGATCCACTCCAGCAGCATCCACATGTCCCTCATCCGCATCCTGCATACCCCATGGCTCATCCGGCACATTCGCCCATTCCTCCCCAAGTTCACTCACCGGGATGAACTCCTCGCCTTCTTCCTCGAGTGATGGAGTCGTCGATGTTGTCGACGTAGTTGACATAGTCTGGACTTCGGTGGTGGTAGAAATCGACCCCGTCCCCAGGATGTCACGTATGGCTCCATCAACTGTGACATACTCGTCCATGGGCGTTGGCGGATAATATTGAGGTGCCGTGGGTATTTGAGGAGTTCTTGGCATCCCTCTTTCATCAAAGGGTGTTGTCAATCCGTAGTGTGGTCCAGGGACTGGTGGAATTCTGAGAGGAGTACTAGGAGCAGCACTGGCAGAAGTCACCCCTGCAGTGCCCTCCGGTGTGGCTGGTATCACTCCCGACGTCCACGTTGTTCCCGGTGTCATCGTTGTTCCCGGTGTCATCGGGGCGGCTCCTTGTAGAGGTGCACGAGGTGCTCGCCAGTCTGCTCGGCCATCCATTGGGGTCATCGCCCCTGTTGGTATTGGATCTCGAGTCTGTTGACCACGTTGGGCACGTAGGGCATCTACCGGCGGCGCCTGGAATCTTGGCCTAGGTGGTGCAAGCATCCCCCGTGGTTGAAGTCCAGGTGCCGGCTCCCACGAACTTGAGCTCACCCCACTGGCCTCCATCGTCCCAGTTGCATCCGATACCATGGGGCCAACCTTTGCACGCTTAAGTGGACGAGCTGCCACACGTTGTCCAAGGCCCGGCTCTGGCGCATGGTGCATTTTGCCACCTTCTTCCCATCTCCATGAGCTCTGCCGTGCGTCTGACTCTTTCCTCTTCCCTGCGCCTAGCCTCCACGTGGGTCTTCTCCTCACCGTGGATTTGTGACAGGGCCAGGTTCGCGAGGTGCCAGATTTCATCCTCGAACACCATGGACCATTGCAGAAACCTGTCCTCCTCGTCAGCATTGCGTGGCCGCAGAGTGCGGGCTTCACCAGGCGGCGGGTAGAGACGTTGATCAGGTACTGCCTGATCTTCTCCACCTTCTCCATCTCCAAGTTGGACAGCTTCACAATTATGTCCGGGGTGAGGTCGGTGTACCTCTCCAAGGGGAAGAAGGTGCCGATCGGCATGTCGCCCTTCTCGGGGGTCTTGAAGTACTTGGCCATGGGCTTCAGGACAAAGTCGTGCCTGGACCTAAAGAACTTGTCGACCCAGACCTCAGACATGTCGGGCATCTTCTTGTTCTCCTTGATCGTCTGCGAGGTCGACGAGATGAAGTCTGGCGAGGGGTTCTTGACACTGTCCTTCTTTGCCATCCAGGTGGGCTTGAGCACCCTGGCCTCGTGCCCGGAATTGTATTCGGAGTCGTACACGAACTTCTCCCTCAGGCTCCGAAACTTCCTGATCGGCATCGTCTCCAACGAGTGGATTACCTCAGCCATCAACATCCTCTTGATGGGCACCACGTGGGAGTGCTTCATCTCGCTGATGTTGGTGATCACCATGTCCGAGACGGACTTGGACTGGAACAACAGGAATCCGTTGTGCTTCAGCGCGATGTTCCTGTTGCTGAGCTTCTGGATCTCCGACACCATCGGAGGGACGAGGCTCCTGAAGACCCTGAGGTGCTTGTCCTTCATCGACTTCCCGACCTGGGCCTTCACCGTGATCTCGACATACCTGTTGTCAAAGATGGGAACCATGGCCATCGTGATGGTGAACTCCTTCCTCTCCAAGACCTCGGTCTCGCCCGTCGCGGAGTGCATCTCCACATGGATCTGGGAGACGTGAAACCTCGTCTTGTCGATGCAGGTGCCCACCATGAGCTCCATGAGGATGTCCTTCCTCTTCAAGATGGCCGACATCATCGAGTTCACGTGCAACTTCTCCATGCTGTAGAAGATGATGGGGACGTTAAACATGGACACCGTCGGCATGTCGCTCATCTCCCTCGAGTAGATGATCAAGATGAACCTGTCCTCCGAGTCGGTCATCTTCTCCAACTCGTCCCTCATCTTGAGGGACCTGAGGATCTCCTTGTCCTTGTCAGACAGATCGTCATAGTTAGCCTTCCTGATCTTGTCCTCCTTCTGCTTCCTGAAGGCCCCTGGCCTGTAGGGCTCCTTCGGCTTACTCACGGGCCCCTCCACGATCTTCTTCTCCTCCTTACTGACAAACATGGAGTTAGAGGACTTCTGGTTGAACAAGATCTCCTCGTCGTCCGAGTCCATGTCCGCCCAGAGCGTCCTGCCCTTGTCGGACACCTGTGTCTGCGAGACGATCGAGGACCTGGCGGCCGAGCTCTCCTCGAAGATGGGGGACATCGGCCTGACCACTGGGTCTGACAAGAGGGACTTCCTCAAGCTCGAGGAAGTCTCTCTCTCAATCTCGCTGATGTCGATGGACAATATGTCGGGGTCGGTGATCTTGATGAAGTGAGCGTAGGAGCTTCCGTACATGGGGCAGGGATTGGAAATGGATGAATTCTGGGTAGTGAAGCCCAAAGTCCTTGCCACAGTGACTATGTCTGTGATAGACATCGACATAGATATCGATTCGAGCTGGTTGACTAGGCTTCGGGCCAGTGTTGAGACCAACAGTTTCAGATTCGAACCTCACAAACATTAGCACGCATATGTCAAGCCCTGGATGCGAAATCGGAATTACATCCCGTACCAAACTCTGCTAAATCCTAAACCCTAAACCTAAACCCTACATCCTGAATCCCTATAAAGCCTAAATCCTAAAGCCCCAAAAGCAGCACAAGAGAGCAGTGTCCCCAATCCGATGCAACTCGCAAAAGCGTGGCGTCCTCCGTTACTTGCAGGATCAGGGGACTTCGTAACCCGAAGGGTGCAAAGCACTGCTTGGGGGGGGGGGGGTGTAGGGTCTTCTACGAGTTTAAGGGGTTTTAACGGTCCAGAAGACCTGAGAATTCGGTACTTGGGTTTAAGATAATACGATTATTCGGTGCACGGACCCGTAGGGTAAGCAGTTGATAAGTAGAGCTGTAAGTAGGACGACCGCAGTCAGGGCATCTATAAGCCAATGAAAACCTTCCCTGAGCCCTGAGCCCTAAACCCTTAATCCTGAACCCTGAATCCTGAACCCCGAATGCTAAACCCTGAAGCCTAAATATTCTACCCCTGAATCCCAAGACTTGAACCCTCTTTAAATCCTATACCCTGAACCCTGCATCCTAAACCCTCGACATTAAATCCTGAACCCTCAGCCCCTACCATGTAACTTCCCTGATCCTGCAAGTACTTGCGTCCCGCAGCTGATGTCTACGGACACCTGCCGATGGGGGAGAACTCTGTGGGCTTGCGAGGATCGGGCTTGGGGCTTCCATTCCCCGAGGGTTTAGGGTTTAGGGTTTTGGATAGTAGGGTTTCAGGTCCAAAAAACCATACTCTGAATGGTTTTTGGACCTCGGAATCCTGCTATTTGAATACTTGGAGCCTCTGGGATCAAGAGCTCCGCTAGGGGCTCTTCAAGATTTCCTGTAAGGATTTAAGGTTTAGGACCGAGGACGCTCGAAACTCCTACAAGTATATCCCATATCCCTGAGCCCTAACTCCGGAAACCCTAAACCACGAAAAGCGACATCTTTGAACCCTGCACCCTAAACACCCATGTCCAAAACATTTTTTGAACCGTTTACTCCCTGAGCCCTAAGCCCTAAACCCCCATACCCAAGGCCTCTAAACCCTTTACTCCCTGAGCCCTGAGCCGTAAACCCCATACCCTACGCCTCTGAACCCCTGAACCCCAAGCCCCAAAAAAACCCGAAACCCCCACAAAACCCATGAACCCTAAGCCCTGTAGACCCCGAAACCACCAAAATACACGAAACTACAAAATCCTTGAACCCTAAAGCCCAAAACCCCTGAATCCCAAGCCCCCAAACCCCAGAAAGACCAGCCTCAGCAACACGAGTCGGCCTGTATCGGCGCTGAGCCTCTCAAGACTTTGGTTTAGTCTAGGGTCTCAGGGTTCGGGGGATGTTATAGTACCACAAAAAAAGGACTAAAAGGCTAAAAGGAGATACTGTTACTAAAATTCGACCCCCAGAATACTATGTGCGGGTTTTTACATGCTTGGAAGGAGCCACCCCGGTGTCCCCCAGCCGCACCGTGCTGCATGACGTTGACGGGACCATTCGGGGTCAGTCGCAGCGTCTGCGCATGGCCGCTGTAGCCTGCATCGCAGGCTTGTGCTCGAGGTTCTTCTTTCTAGCTCGCAGGAGTCGGGACAAGTGGTAATGCTATTCCATTAGGTTCTCTATTGTAACCCTTTTCTAAAATTTTGTTGGAGGCTCATGGAGGCGTGCATGCGGAGTTGTACGCGTCATCTAGCTTTGGCCACAAACACTTCTTACCGCATTTTCGCCCTGGAACCCTATGCTAACCCGAATAGGATCCCATGATACGCATGACGAAAACCTTGCTGCTAAAGGCTCCAGTGTTTGTGTGAGGGTTAGGGTTTGGGGTTCAGTTTGTTTTACAGCCTTAGCCCTGAGCCCTGAATTAGGGTTCAAGGGACAAGGGGCTTCGGGGTTCATGGTTCAAGCGTCTGGGCAAGCCCAGAAGAAGCATACAGCCCACAAGGGAATGCAACTGCGACGACTGGCTTGTCACCAGCTCGTGTCTGCAGTCTACACTACACCTTGTCTGATGAGCTGTCCGTCCTGTTTGCGCCTTCGCCACCCCGAAGATTTGAGCTGAGAGTGTAGGGTTTTGGCTGCCAGACGCTTTCACCACAACCGAAACCCGACAGATAAGTAATCGAGGCCGTCGCAGCTGGCAACAATCATGATGAATACCACCCATCATACGGCTGATGATAAAAATCCTGCATTACCCATAATAAGAAACTACCATAACTCGCACAGTCTAGGGTCCTTAGGGTAATGCAGGATATATCATCGACCGTAGTTGCAAGCTTAGTGAGTAGGGTATCTTATAGAATTGTAAGTATCATAACCCTAATTAGGGATCCTTTCAAGGTACTCATAAGTCTGCATATCACCTAGTTACTACGATAGAAGCCCACAAGTTGGAAACCCCATAGCCTCAATCCTTCACAGTAATGTATAGGGGGATCCCAGCACTATTTGGCCGTAATCCGGTTTATGCGGTTTACTGTAAGTCTCCGACCCTCCAAGTGCTTGCTGCATGGATCTGCTGCAGTTTTGTTCCGAAGCCTTGAAGCTGAGGCAACTGGGCCTTGCGAATGGGGCTTAGGATTTAGGGTTTAGAGTTTAGGATTAGTTTAGGGTTTAGGGTTCTGAAAACCTTGTTTCATCAAGCCAACCGCCCTAAACCGCACGGTGTTGCAAAAGAAATTACACTGCACTGCTCTGCGGGCGCACTTTGCGAAGGTCTTTGCGACTGGACGCCACCCCAGATGTAGTCGTTCTGCACGTAGTTGTCCTCTCTCTCTCTCTCTCTTTCCTCCCTCCCAACCTAGGTGTTCCTGAAACGGGTCTAGACCATCTGGGTTCGTAGAACTTTTGAGTTGAGGGGCATCTGGCTTACAGAGAGCTTAACTTGACATGCCGCCTTCCCGAAACCGCAAATCATGGCCCCTAATCCCAAATCGGGCCCTCAAGTTTCTCTCCATGAATCTTACACTAAGTTCTATTCACTCCTTTGCAAGGGTTACTATCAGGATTGCTATAGACTATAATTTATAATGGCTCTAAATCGTTCGTCAAGTCCTGCGCACTTGTCGCCATCGGATTCCCCCGGTATCTGTCCTCCACAGGTTCGGCTGAGGCTTGAAGGATAAGGGTTACCCTCCTAAACCCTGAACCCTAAGCTCCAAACCCGGAAGCCGGAACCCCGAACCCCGAACAGTCGGGTGCCTGCCAATCCCCCGGTGATGCCGAAGCTCCAAATCCTTGATCCTCCAATGCTCGCCTGACTTATTGATTGGGGCTTTAGGATTGAGGGCGTAAGGAGCATTCGCTGTATAATGCCCTTGCGCGATACCTTCAGGCAGGTATGGGCGGGCCATGACTAGGCCACCCCTCCAAGCCATAAGCGTGACAGGTGTCCCACCCTTCGGTCGGCAGGATAAAGGGTCCGAAGATGTGAGCCACAAACCCTCAAGCCGTAGCCCGATAAAACCCGAAGACCTGAAAGCCTAAACCCTCATTTCCCAAACCCCGGATCCTAATCCCTATATCCTAATGCCCGAGAGCAAGCCTAATACCCTATATCTAGAGCATAAAGCTCACCCCCCCAAACCGTATTCTGCATACCACTCATGCACATCCAAGATATGCAGTTTGCCTCCTGGCAGATCAAGGGCTGTCACAACCCAGGGTCTGTATAGGTCCCCTAAAGTTGGGCTTATGGAGTAAGGCTGCCCGGTGCTACTTACGCTGCGGCGATGGCTCTAGAAATTCAGAATTTGGTGAAACGTTGTGGTAGCAAGCAAAGCGGTTGAAACAATAGGCTTTTGGAAATCTACCTTAAACCACCATAACCCACTGTTTTTTTGTAGTTCTTATTATTACACGCAGATATAGATTTTATGGAGACCCTGCAAAAGCTAGGTCTTGGAAGCTCAGGGTAGCACCAAACAACCGATGAGTCAGTGAGGCCTTCAAGCCCCAAAGCACGGACCAAACCCGAAAACCCTAAACCCCTAGACTTAGACACTAAGAGGCCCCAATATGAAACTTCACACTGGGTTGTTGGTCCTTGCTATGAACAGATTAGGTAAGCCGAAGGCCCTACCAAGTCGTAAAGGTCCGTTTGTGTGGGAACAAGGTTTTGGTGTATGTTGTACAATAATGACACAGAGTTTGAACCGTGAGCACGATCACTAATTTTCCGACCTGCACTAAGCTGTTTTTAATGTCAGAGTCTCTGCTTGGAAAATCACAAGAGCCTTGTCAGCACCCTAACAAACCCTTGTAGACGAACCGCCGATCTTCTGCCAAGCCCGCAATCGCCCTAGACTCTCGACCCCAAACCCCCTAAACCCTAAACCCTAAACCCTAAACCCTAAACCCTAAACCCTAAACCCTAAACCCTAAACCCTAAACCCTAAACCCTAAACCCTAAACCCTAAACCCTAAACCCTAAACCCTAAACCCTAAACCCTAAACCCGACCCCAACCCCCTTGTCAAAGTACGAGTCCTCCTGGAATTTCTTTGCCAAGGCTTTCTGGGTTGTGACAAGGAATGCCTCGGACCAAAGAAATTCAAAAACAAAAATCGGGAAGGGGTTTAGGATTGAGCTTAGGAGCTGGGTTTCAAGTCTGGGGCTTGGGTCTTGGGGCCTAGTTCAGGATTTAGGTTTAGGGTTTGGCCTTGTGTCTAAAGGGGGTTCGAAGAGGGTTCTAGAAAGTGAACTACAAGGTTTCCGAAAGGTTTCGGTAAGGATTCCAAGATGCTGCTAAAAGATAAGATAAGGTGCACCCGGTCAACTGAGCTTCCCTCCTGGATGAGAACAATACTCCAAAGTACAACTCGCTACTTGGGCCGCGTCCGCCGCATCCCAAAAAAAAATCCTCGGGAGACAGCCCGATCGGAATGTCAATGCAACGCTGCGATGGTGGTCGAAGAGTTGGCTGCACAAAGCGTCATGTGGGAGTTTCCGAAAATCGGGGACCCTAATATGGTACCCCAAATAGTATTATCTTTTAGAAGGACCCCAAAATACGGTACCCCTAATTTTCGGAAGCTCCCATGTAAGGGTTCTTAAGAGTGGTTTCGTTTGCTTATGCTGGGTTGATGCTTGATAGGGATCTGAAGAAGTAGGAATCTAGCTACTCGACGCATAAGGGATCCCCCGCTCTAAAGGCCCAGACACGCTTCTACCCCAAAACATCCATAGACCTTCTTCTGTTTTGGGGTTAGGGTTTAGGGTTTAGGGTTTAGGAAATGCACCTGAGGCCTCAACCCTCAAAGCTGTTTATCAGTTTTCTCGCCTTCTGTAGACGCCCAGGCACCTATATACTATCCCTAAACCACCTCATGGCCAAGCACCCATATACCACTGCACTTCAAGCCCGAACCCTAAACCCTAAACCCGTACCCCAAACCCGTAAACCCTAGACCCTATACCCAACACCCTATACTTAAAGGGTCATGGGACTTAGTAAGTAGGTTATAAATAAGGTAACTATACTTAAAATTACTTATAAGCCCAATCAAGGTACTTAAAACCCTACTTACTAAGCCCCATGATCCTCCAAGTAGACCCATAGATCAATCAAGGAACCCGATAATTCGATCCCTTTAAGGAACCTTACTTACTCAGTAACTATACCCTAAACCCTAAACCCTTATAGTACCCCTATAGATCCCTTAAAGGGACCCTTAACCCCTTAACCCCCTACTTACTAAGTCCCATGATCCTCCAAAAGTACCCAACACCAGAGCACCAGAGGCCCCGGGCATCGTCCACGTGCCGGCCTGTGACTGCGGAGGTCTCCAGAAAGTCTAGGCCTGAGCCCAACATGGGAGTTTCCGAAAATTAGGGGTGCCTATTTTGGAATCCTTAGAATAAGGATCCTACTATTTAGGGTACTGTATCAGGGTCCCCCTCCCAATTTCGGAAACTCTCACATGGACTTGCAAACGTCATCGCGCGTTCGGCGTGTAGGGTTTAGGGTTTAGGGTGTAGGGCTTTTAAGGTTTGTTTTTAAGTTGAGTTGACTTTTACGTCTGCCGACAGTCGGCTCTCAACCACATCCATTCTTCCTCATCTCAGAAGACCTTCGGGACGACCCCACCATCACGGTTTAGGGTTTAGGGTTTAGGTTTAGGGCTTGGGGTTCAAGGTTTAGGGTTTAGGGAATCAGATGCCACTTAACTGTACCGACATAAACTACTGTACTTATGGCTCTGGGCGGCGGGCTCTGTTTTGGACCCTGTGCCGAGAGTCTACAGGGGGGCCAGTGCCCGTGACATGTTACTTTACAAGTCGATGACGACGTTGAACTTCAGCCTGAATCCATCGAAGAACCCGGAGAGCTCGACGAGGACTAGCTAGAAGTACTTTACAAGTCGTTGTCCTGCTGCAGTATACATACGTGCATACATACATACAATTACGTGCGCGCTTTGCATGCATGCAAGGTCAGTCAGGCAGGTAGGCAGGCAGGCAGATGTATGCACGCATGCATACGTAATGTGGGCATACCGCTTGTGAACCGCATACTAAACGATAGCAGAACATAATGCCAAACAGTAAATTAAGCAGCATGCAGCATAGCCTTGTTTAAAATGTCAAGAAGTAAACAAAAAGCACAGTAACATAGTCTTTAATGTAGTTGTAAAGTCTCAATTCAGGGATCCTAGGATGGATGCTTCGAACCGCCGGCCTCCGTTTTAGCGCAAAGCCCACCCGGTTAATTATTTCGGGGTCGTTCCAGAGTGCCGTTTTGGGGGTTTAGGATGGCTTAAAGTCACGGGCCTTTCAAGGGAGAAGGCATTGGGCAGACACTTCCGTAAAACCCACAAAGAAACATATACTGGGTGCATGTTACGGAATTACATCAGTTTACTAGAGTAAAGAAACCATATTATTTATTATAGATCCCTATTATGGTAACTTAAACTAAGTTCCTTAACAAGAACGCTGTATATACCTTGTGGCAGTTGTAGGGACAGGGGCACACAGGAACCTTGCGATACCACAAAAAAACTCTTCGCACCCTGACCAGTGAATGCTTAACCCCTCCAAATCAGCCAAGCTCTGAAGATAGTATGAAAAACGAGAGCGCAAGCCTTAAACCCTAAACCCCAAAAGCCAGCGTTTTCAGCCCTAGCCCTAACATGGGAGCCTCTATTGAGAACCATATGATACTACTCCTAGGTTGTTTATCCCGCAGTGAGATCTTCCTGAGCCCGGGTAGCATACAAGCCGTGTCAATTAACAGCCCAAAGAGCCTGAGACTCAGAACAGATCCGCAAACTCCCCTAAACTTAAACTCCAAAGCCCTCAACCCTAAATTTTTGGAACCCTTATAAGACCAATCTGAAAGAATCCTCAGCTGAACCCTTAAAGGAACCCCCGACCACCCTCCCCGAACTTCGGTTGATGATATAAATCCTGCACTACCCGTTTTAAGGAATATACCATAGTTCCCATCGTTTTGGGTCCTTAAGGTAATGCAGGATTTATATCATCAACAGTTTCTCCAGGGCTTCGGCCGTAGCTGGTTGCAAATCGGTAGCCTTCCTCATAGGTCACCTGACGCTTCTTGTCCTGTCCGGCGCTGAGGTTCCCAGAGACTCCAATAGCCCTGAATTAAGGAATATACCTTAAATCGTAATAAGGATTCTACTATACCTTAAGGTATATCGGCGCTGAGGTTGTGGAGACTGCGCAGACCCCCGGGAGGATCCAAAAACTAGATCCCTTAATCGGGGTTCCTATAAAGTACCCGTAGCAGTATAGGGCCCCAAATTAGGGGATCTACTTTGTAGATCCTCCCGGGGGTCTGGGTGAGGATTTTCCAGTTTGGGTTCAGGGGGTTGGGGTGATCAGGCCAAAGGCGAAGGGTTTAGGGCCTCGGGTTTAGGGTTTAGGATTAAGGGCTGGAGTGTATCGGGTGCAGGGTGACGGTTGAGGTCCCAGACTCCAAAATCCCTTAATTGAGGAATGCACATTTTCAAATCTTACCAGGTTTCCTTTTAGAACTTGAACTTAAGACATATTTCTTCCAAAATCTCTTAATTTAGGAAGGTACATTTTCAAATCTTACCAGGTTTTCCTTAATTTAATTCAGGGGTTTGGGAGTCTCTGGGGTGCCAGGACTTGGGCACCAGCCCTCGTCGATCCCGAAGCGTGAACTCCAGAGCGAACCCTGAACCCCAAACCCCAAAAACCCCACCGAACTCCTAGACGGAACCCCTAAACGATTAGGGTTTAGGGTTTAGGGTTTAGGGTTTAGGGTTTAGGGTTCCCTAACTCCAACTTCCTGGCCGGAGCCCCTTGATTTCCGCAAACCCTGAACTCATCGAATCCCGAATTCCCACCCCCCCATCCCCAACTCCAACTTCCCTATACCCAAAACCCTACAAATCCTACACAACCCTTCACTATACTGAACTTAGAACCCTAGCAAAAATTCATACTTCTAGCTGTTTCTTAGGGATTATAATAGCCAAAAATTAAAAACTATTCCTAAGTACCCCTAAGCTTCAAGGAACCCAACAAGGCCCGAAACTCTGATTCCTGCCTGGTCGGACTTGTTGCCGATCAACGTAATGATGAGCTCCGGATCCGCGTTCTCGCGGGCCTCATGGAGCCTGCTTGGAGGGTCGGGGGACTTGGTAACTGGTTATTTTACGGACTTATAAGTACCATAACCCCGATTAGGGTCCCTTTTAGGGTACTTACAAGTCTGCGTTCTCGCGGGCCTCATGGAGCCTGGGTCGAACACGAAGAGCAGGGGTCTCGGGTTTAAGGTTTAGGGCTTTAGGGGTTTAGGGGTTAGGGTTTAGGGGTTTAGGGGTTTAGGGTTTAGGGCTTTAGGGGTTTAGGGGTTTAGGGGTTTAGGGGTTTAGGGTTTAGGGTTTAGGGGTTTAGGGGTTTAGGGGTTTAGGGGTTTAGGGTTTAGGGTTTCGGGTTTTTGGGGTTAGCGGGTTAGGGGTTTAAGGGTTTAGGGGTGTAGAGGTTTAGGGGTTTAGGGTTTAATAAAAATTCCTTGACAGGAGCCCCCAAAGAACACTAAGCCTTCCTAAGCATAAACTGCTTAGGGTAACATCCCTACAAGGATGTAGATGTAGGTTTCAAATATGAATCACAATAAGAAGCCGAGTGCTATTTCAAGAGTATTCCTCAATATCACTCTGTCTGGTAACCCCGAAGCAGGTTCCCAACGATCTGCGGCGGCAACTTGTCTCGCAAGCGTGGGGCTTTGGGTTGTTTTGGTCTGGAGGTTGTAATAGGGGGGCCCTAAGACTTCGAATAAGGTGCTGGGGCCCATTGAACTACAGTTATAAAAAGGAAACCCTAACATAGTATCGGTAATTAGTACGGCCCCTATAGTATCTAGTTTGTATGGGAAATAGACTCCTGGCATTGCTCTGAAGCCTCAACTCAGCCACGGAACCACACTACCCTGCTTGCAGGGTCATGGGAGTTAAGTGCCTAGGGTTATAAATTAAGGTAACTATACTTTCAGCTACTTATAACCTTACTTACTAAGTCCCATGATCCTCCAAGTACAGTCCTACACCGCAGCGGCAGTAAGCCCTGCACTCGTGAAAGGCCTCGAGCCGTAAATAATCCTCCAACGACCTATGCCTCATGCATGTGGAAACGTTGATATACGAGCCTTAATAAGTTGGACAGAGTTTTTGCTAAACGTTTTTGCGCTAAACTATGCCGTACATATGATCAGGAACCCCACGGAATAGACGTGGTTTTTGACCCACCTTCATTACTGGCATAAAAACACATAACACTGTCACACTGCTGACTAACTTCTGGCTGTGGCCCTTGCTTCCCTCCACGGCTTCACGGCTTCACTCCGCACTTTGAACTCCCGGTCTTCAAGACTCCCTCTCAACTCACAGAGTATTGTACGATTTGGGTTTAGGGATTGAGTTTTCGGTTTGGGGCCGTTTGTTTTTTTAAAGGGCAACGACGCCCCTTTCTCCAAAGCGCGCCTACCCAAAAGAGGGCATTTGGGGCCGTTTAGGGCTTGGGGTCTAGCGTTTAAGACTCCCCCTCACCAAACACACGGCTGAGGGAGGAGCCATTCCCGCACGTGCTCGAAGCTGTCTCGCCTGCGCAGCGGGGGAGACTCGGCAGGGAGACTTTCGAGACGACCCTAACCCCTACACCCTCATATCGGGGCCTTAATAGTTGCTTAGGGCTTTGGGGGTTCCTTATCATATTTACAATATGATATACCCCCAAGCCCCAGTCTAATTATTAAGGCCCCGGTAGTAAGCGACAACCGACGACAAAGGACATCGAAGGAGGAAGGACGAAGACGAAGACGACAACAGCCGATGCATGAACGACCACGATGAAATGGCAGAAGACTACGGATGATGCCGGTGGCAGTAACGGTGCTCTTCAACGACAGACCACTGAAGCCCCGAGCAACGAAGGCCTGAACCGTCGCTCATAAATCCCCTATAAGCCCCTGTCGGCCTGAGCCCCTTAACACGATAACCAAAAATAGCTCCCCAGAGAACCCAATGCCCCTTAGTTAAGGAATATGGCTTGAGTTACATAGGGCTTCATATTCAGATTTAAGCTATATTCCTTAACTAAGGGGTATTGGGCTCTCTGGGTCTTTTTGTCGAGATGTCGCAGCGGTCAGGCGAGCAGGATCATCCACGCAATGGCGACATAAAACAGCCACACCTCGGTCGTTCACAGTGCCGTTTAAGATGTACCCTAAGGGTCCACCCTAAACCCTAAACCCTAAACCGTGGGTCCTGAAATACCTTTGGGACCCTTAGTACTTGGGACCTTCGTGTTCTGGGCCTCAGGACTAGTACGGGTACTACGAAAGGATACCAAGGCTCTCAGAACAAGGATCGTACAAAAAAAAACCTCCTCTTTAAGGGTTTTGATAATGAGCATCCAGATATAGGGTCTATCTGCGGTTCGCAAGCAGCAGATTCCTTCTGAGCCTACGGCTACATGTACAGCTAGTGTTGACTTCTAGATCGCACGGTTCAGGGTTTCTTGGTTCAGGGAATCGGTTTCCTTCCAGCAGACTGATACAAGGCCCACAAGACGTCGATCTCGCAACAGGTACCGAAGTGTACCGCCGCTCTTTCGTAAGTGCCTATGATTAGCCTAACGTTTAACTTGCGGGGCCTCGTGGCATTGCTGACAGAGCCCTGAATTACAAAGAACGACTCAGTTTGCCCACACAGCCCAATACCCCTTAATTCAGGAATATAGCTTTAATCAGAAAATGTATATAGCCCTATATAAGTTAAGCCATATTCCTTAATCCCCTTACAGACCCCCTTTATAGATCCCTTTAAGGAGCCCTTTTAAGGAACCCTAGGTATTCCTTAATTAAGGGGGGTATTGGGCTCTCTGGGTGCATTTCAGGCCGGGGGGCTTCGCCCTGAGTCGAAATCTTCAGAATGAGGCGCTGACTACGAGGCTATGGCTGCAGGGATTCCCTGGAATGAGTAGTGTTTAAGGTTTAGAGTTTTAGGGTTTGGGTTTAGGGTTTAGGGTTTAAGGTTTAGGGTTAGAATATGCGAATAAGCTTTGGGTTGGTATGCTGCCGTGCGAAATAATCATACAAAGGGGATGAAAGAGAACAGGAAAATGTCGCTAGCTTCTCAGACCCCACATGAAAACCTCTACCCCCCAAAAAAACAAAACTCCATAATCCCTCACTCCCTCTCACCGGCCCTCGCTGGGAACCCGAGCCGGGTAGATCCCCAGAAGCCGCTTGTCCTCTGTCATATAGGATTCAGCATTTAGTTTAGGATGACGTTTACGGTTGTTTTTAAGTTTACGGCTTAGGGTTTAAGGTTCAGCGTTTAGGTTTAGGGCTATTTCGGGTTTAACGTTCAGGAAATAGGATCCAATAGTCGAGCGTTTCGGAAAGGACCTGAATCACTAGACTGGGGCTTGAAGCTAGTCGAGATTCCGAAAGGGTAACCTTGAAATCCTAACCCCCTGCCAATAAGTAATAGCACCAAGTATTCAGGACCCTACAGAGGAGAGCTCATGCAGCCTTTGTTGGATTGCCTGTACCTAAACCTTTGTAAACTCTACACCTGAAACTTTCAAGCCCAACCCTCGACCGTAAAACGCGGAAAACCGGAAGTTCCGAACCCCCAGAGCCCTGCAGCAATTAGGCCCCAAAGCCCCTAAAGACCTAAAGCTCGAAACCCAAAAAAACTAAACCCTAAACTAAAAAACCCTAAACCCCTAAACCCCTAAACTCTAGAGGGTTTAAGCAATACGGGTCCTCGACCCAAAACCCCACTTCCGGTGCCAGCCTCGGGCACGAGCTCCGTGACGAAGCCCAGCGAAGCCTTTTGGGCTTCGGGTGTCGGGATCCAAGGGGTCTACTAAAGGGGGGTTTAGGGTTTTTTTTAAAGTGCAGCGACCCTTTTCTGTGCAGACAGGCCTGCCTCATAGAGGCTTGCACGTTAGAAAACATTGTTCTCACTTCTCTCCCGCATTGAAGATCCATCGGTTTAGGGTTTAGGGTTAAGGGTCCCTTTAAGGGATCTATAGGGGGTACTACCAGGGTTTAGGGTTTAGGGTATAGTTACTTAGTAAGTAAGGTTCCTTGAAGGGATCTAATTATAGGGTTCCTTAGAGGGATCTATAGGGCTTATAGGGTTTAGGGTCTACTTGGAGGGTCATGGGACTTAGTATGTAGGGTTCTAGGTACCTTATTTGGGGTTACAAGTAATTATAAGTATAGTAAGCTTAGTCATAACCCTAGTTACTAACTCCCATGACCCTTTAAGTAGGGGTCTACTAAAGGGTTTAGGGTTTAGGGCTTCGCGTTTCGGGATCCAAGCGGTCTTACATAGGGGCCCTTCAAGAATTGGACCAGGCTTTTGGGGTGTATCAGATACAACATGTATAACTCTGCTAAGGTTACTAAGGATCTCCAAGAAACCCTGTTCTGATTCTCAACGCTCGCATCTTGTAGGATTTAGCTTAAGGTTGGGTGCTGAAGGAGCTTCCAGGTGCATCAAACCCAATCAACTGCAACCTTTATTGAACACTCAAAGCCCTTGATAAAAGAAAACACCGAAAAGCCGATAAACGCTTACAACAACCCCGACAAGCGTGCATGAGAGTCCTTGAACCCTAATTCCCTAAACCCTTAATCCCCCAAACCCTAAACACCCTAAACCCCCTGAAGCCTAAACCCCCTAAACCCTTAACCCTAAACCCTAAACCCCTAAACCCCTAAACACCCCAAACCCCCTAAACCCCCTAAACCCCCTAAACCCCCGAAACCCCCTAAACCCCCTAAACCCCCTAAACCCCCTAAACCCCCTAAACCCCCTAAACCCCCTAAATCCCCTAAACCCCCTAAATCCCCTAAACCCCCTAAACCCCTTACCCCTCGGAGTCTGAACCCCCGAAACCCCTAAACCTTCCCTCCCACCAGGGCCTTCGCAGACCAGGCCATGCCTGCCATGACGAAGATGACCTGCGGCTTGCGCTTCACTCGAAGAAGCCCTTGCAGACCCCTAAGAAACCCTCCTTTTCCTAAGCCCTAAACCCTAAACCCACGAGAAACCCAGAGACTCCAATATCCCTTAATTAAGGAATGTACCTTAACTTATAGTAGGATCCCTAATATGAATTAAGGTTCATTCCTTGATTAAGGGATACTGGAGTCTCTGGGAACCCTCCTTTGCAGGAACTCCAGTCCTTGCCTTCAACCAGTCCACTCGGAGCAGCCTTTGTAGACCCCCAAGTTCCTAAACCCTAAACCATGAGGGTTCCTTTAAGGGCTATTATATAACCCCATAGTACCCTAAGAAGGAACCCCCCGCCCCGGCCTTCAACCAGTCCACTCGAAGCAGCATGGCGCAAAAGGCGGAGAGCACGAGAGGGAAGATGCAGTAACCTCGTCTCAAGGGGCCCTTTAGGGGGCTCAGGGGGTTGGTTTAGGGTTTAGGGTTTAGGGCTCAGGGGGTTTTAGGGGGGGGTTCCCTCTAAGGGTACTGCAGGGTTCTATCACAGGTCTCGGGGTTTTAGGGGTTCCCTTTAAGGGTACTGCAGGGTTCTATAGTAGGTCAGAGAAATTTTAAGGGGTTCCCTTTACCTTCAGCGTACTGTTGGGTTCTAGAATAGAGCTTAGGGGTTCTAGGGTTCCCTTTAAGGCTACTGTAGGGGTGAAGGGTAGCATAGGCATAAGCTTTTGGGCTTGGGGTTTAGGGCTTTGGGTTCCGAGTTCAAGGTTGAGGGTTTAGCTTCAGGGCTTAGGATTTGGGAGTCCAGGGCTTCGGTTGCAGGGTTCAAAGTTGAGGATTTAGGGTTTCAGGGTTTAGGGTCTAGGGTTCTTTTTTTGAGCTCCTTTTTCCAGTCGCCTGAAAGGGCCCCGAAAGGTTTAGGGGGTTCAGGGTTTGGGGTTTCAGGGTTTAGGGTTTTCAGGGTTTTGTTTGTGATTCTCGCCATTGCCCACGAACTGCGTGGGCAATGGCGCACTGGAGCTGCGAACCCCAAACCCGAAACCCCTAACCTCTGAACACTACTCCCAGAGACCGTAAGCCCTAAACCGTGATTTGGGTTCCTCAACCCTAAACTTTCTAAACCCTAATGAGTCCGACACCCAGCACGCAAACGGTCTGGAAGAAGGACACCTGCCATCGGAGGAGCTGCGGCTGGAAACCACAGGGATTTGGGGCTTGGGGGTTAGGATTTGAGCTTTTCGGGTCTAGCAGGGTTCAGGGTTTCGGGATTGTAAACAAGCAGTAGGGCTTAGGGCTTAGAGCTGAGAGGGTTCAGTAGGGTTTAGGGTTATAGAGCTTATAGAGTTTGGAGTATAGGGTTCAGGGTCTGGGGATCACAGGGTTTAGGGGTTATCGAGTTAGGGTTTAAGAACTTAAGTGTTGAAGACTCAAGGTTGAGGCCTTAGTCTATCAGATGTCCTCTTTTTGATGCAGGAACTTGATTGCGAAACCCTTGTCCTACATTTGGTTAGTAGGGAATGGAAGAATGGTAGTAATAGTAGCTATAATTGTACCCCATTCCTCCATTTCCTACTAAACAAAGGTAAGTTGTGTGTTAAGACAAGCATCCGAGCGGCAACTGGCTGCAACAT